TGTTGCACCGGGGTCATGGCAACCCCCACTATCAGTACAAGCAGGGGGAGATAAGGATGGAGCACAGCTCTGCTGAAAAGGACCTGGGTTGGGTGGCAAACTGGACATGAGCCAGCAGTGTGCCCTTGCAGCCCAGAAAGCCAACTGTATCCTGCATCAAAAGAAGCGTGGCCAGCAGGGTGAGGGAGGTGATCCTGCCCACCCACTCTGTGCTGTGAGGCTCACCTGAAGTACTGCGTCCAGATGTGCAGTCCTCAGTACAGGAGAGATACAGACCTGTTGGAGTGCATCCAGAGGGATGGAACAACTCCTGTGAGAACAGGCTGAGAGCCTGGATAAGAAAAGGCTCCAGGGAGAGCTGATAGCGGCCTGTCAGTACCTACAGGGAGCTGCAAGAAAGAAGGGGACAGACCTTTTAGCAAGGTCTGCTGTGTTAAGACAAGGAGAAATGGTTTCAAACTAAGAGTATATAAGTAAGGTTTTTACAATAAGAATGATAAGGCACAGGATGCCCAGAGAGGTGGTGAGTGCCCCATCTCTGGAGGCACTCAAAGTCAGGCAGGACAGGGCTGTGAGCACATGATCAAGTGTAGATGTCCTGTTCATGCAGGGGGGCAGAGCCTAGATGACCTTTAGGAGTCCCTTCCAACTCAAACAATTCTGTGATTCTGTGAATGTGGTGAAAAGCTTATGTTTCCAGGGAAGCACACTTCTCCCCGGGATTACAAGAACAGACAGCATGTTTGTATAGTAACTGTCAACAGCGACTGCCACCTAAAAAAATCAGAGAGAAAATTATGTTCAGATATTGCCAAATAGGCTTTATTTATCTTCAGTGTTAACTAGCAAACACAATTTAAAAGAAAATCTACATCATAATTTGCCAGAATAAACATAACCATAACAAACTGCTATCCATGTTTTTTCCTAACTTGTGTGATGGATGCTTTGATTCATTTTTTACTTTGAAAAGTTATTGGAACATTTGACCTTGCAAACACAGCTGGAACCCAGTGGCCTCAGGGACTATTTGGCTGCTGCTTTTGGAAGGAACGTGCGAGCGTTTTGCCCAGCAGGCCTCCCTTTCCCAGCCCCTTGCCTGCTCCCCACTGGAGTCTTTCACCATAGCCATGCACTGAGCTGATGCAGGCAGCTTTCACAAGCACTCTGCAGCACTCTCCCTCCTGCACAGAGGGGCTCAGTGCGGTGCTCTACAGGTGGGTGCATGTCACAGCGTGCTCGGAGTGATGGGCACTGTGAATCTGGACACGGGAACCTTGAAATCCCAGGTATGTCCACCTTCCTCCCCTTTCACCCCTGCTGTGTGCAATGAGTTTGGCACGGAGCGGTGACTTCATGATTTTAGCATTATCCAGAGACCCCCACAGTCACAGTTAGAACAGGAAATGGTAATACAGCGGTGACAAGAAATAAAGCTGTATCTGCTTTTTATGTCTTCAAATCTTGTTTGGTATTCCCCAGCATGTAAAAAAAAACACCACAGAATTTTCTTTATGGTTTTCATGTTCTCAGAGAAGGAACAGCTGTGGGGAACATTGAGAAAGTATTTTTATATGTCTCACTAACTGCAATTTTTTCAAAATTTAAAAGCACTCATTTTCTAAGGACGGCATTCAAAGAAGCACAGTGAGTGCTCTAAATGTGGAGATTTCCACTGCCAGAGCTCTGTGGGCAACTCCAGAAAGGGGAACAAAACACGATTTGCATTCTTCAGGCAAAATGTGTCGTGCCACCTTCCGCTGTCTGTGCACTGCGCTCTTCCATCTTTTCACCATTCTTGGGCAGTGCCATTAGTTTACGTGCGCACTGACTTTGTTCTTTTATTCTTTCTGCTTAAGGCAAATGACATCAGTGCAGCCAGCCTGGCACCGCCAGTGCTGAGGCAGAAACAGCTGAATAAGAGGAACTCGCTGCAGCCTCCTCCTCCACCTGAACGGCGGTCGTCTGCTCTTAGTGCTTCACCAGTCCTACCCTCCAAAGTGAAACGAGACAGCGGTATTTTCCTAACAGATCCAGAAAGCTTTCCTGCACCACCGCCTTCCCTGATGCTCGATTTGCCACCGCCGCCGGCACCAGCTGACCTCTGTGAACCTCCTCCTGATTTTGTGCCTCCGCCACCACCCCCATCCATCAGCAGCAGCAATGCAGACCTGCCGCCACCCCCTCCGCCTCCACCCGTCTCCAATAAGCCACCACCTCTGACAAAGAAACCTGTGCCGCTTCCTGCAAAAAGGCAAGGGAACGCGGTACAAGATGGAGAGCCGAGAGCAGCTGGGCCGCCCCTGATCGGGGGTGGAGGCAGGCAAGCAGATTTCATGTCTGACCTAATGAAAGCTCTTGAGAAGAAAAGGGGCAGCAGCTCCTGATGTGAGGACAGGTGGACTTTAAGCCAGAGCTGCTGTTGCGTCACCAAAGGTCGTGCTGGATCAGGCCCTACCAGCAGAGGAATTCTCTGAGAGATCCCCCTGGGGGCTCCAAGAAGTGAGGGGGGTGCCCTCTGTCCCCCACTTTGGCCCCACAACCTGCTCCTTCCTCACCCCACAACCCTTAATGACCCCCACAGCAGCAGGATGAGGTCAGAAATTGGCCGCAGCCTCTTTCTGTACTCCGTTGTGTGGTGGAGCAGCGCTCAGTGCTGGTCAGCGAGTCGTGTACTTCTGTGGCTGCCTCTTCTGTAGAATTAGAGCCAAAGGAAACCACACAACAGCAGTCTTGTGTCTAAGAAGTGGGATCATCCCTTTTAACAAATTTCCCCTCAAGGGTTCTCTGTCAGAAAACCCCACACTATTTTATTTTCTCAATCAAAAGATATCCCCCCCCCCCTTTTTTTCCCCCCAAAGTAGTCTGTCTTAAAAAAAAATATATATATATATATATATATTTTTTCCCCCCCACTGTTGCTGCCTTTAAATCTCATTTATTTGATTAATTTTCAATAAAGAAAAATTCTTACCTCAAAACGTTGCATCCACCCCCAGTAGCAAGGTTGTCATCTCTTGGTTAACATTTGTCTTCAAAGTGTACCTAGGAATAGTCTGTCTTCATAAAGACTTTATCTCATACCTGATATGAGTATGTCTCTTCCTACTTTTTTCCCCTTTGTTCTTCAGTTTAATTCTCTATTGTTCATTTAGATAGCAGTCACTCTTAGTGCTTAAATAAAAATAGCTTCTATTTTGTACCTGCAGTGTCACAGTTAATTACTTAGATTTGTTTCCTTGCAGGGAGTTTTTGCCTCTACCTTTTTGGTTCCATACTTCTGTTTCTCCCAGTCTGTCTCACGCACAGAGCTGGATGTGTTCCTGCACAGACAGAGATGGATTGGGTACAGACTGCCAGGGCCACCATGCGGGAATACACGAGCAGTTTAAACAGGGCCCACCCACGCACTAACTGAAAGGAAGAGGATTAAAATTAAGGGTTAAAATAACAACATAGGATCTGTATCTCCCATTTGTTTTCCATATCTAACTGTTAAAAACATTGTGCAGAACCACTAAACGCAGAGAAGCGGGGGGTTTTGTGCCCAGTTATTGGGAGTGCAGAGGTTTGATTCAGACAGGAGAACAGCTGTCTGCTATCCAACCATTTTTAAACCGAATGAATTTTCTTTTATGAAATATATACTCAGTGTCAACTTAAACCATGGCTGCACAAAAAGCCACTTTCCCTGTTCACAGAGCACTGAGATTTTTACACGACTTTCCCAGAATTCACTCTTCTCACAAGAACACTCAGCCTCCTGCCCCCTGTCCTCCTTTCTCTTTTGTTACAGCACAATAAACTCAATTTTATACATTTCACGTTCTCAGTCAATCATAACCTATGTGCTTATTACTTCACAAGGAAAACCAGTTGAGCTGTCTTCAAAACAAGAAGAATGAAAGCCTACACAACACTCCAGAGATCGATTCAAATGCCACAGTGATGAGGCCTTGATCAATTATTCTGCGTACAGAATGGTTGCATTGAATTTCTGAAATGTAAATATTCCAACTTCCCATTCGGAAACAGAGCCATCATCTCAGTGATACACAGTTGTCTGCCTTCATTTGGCACAAAAATGATACCACAAAGTAGAGGAAGATCTTCAAGACTATAGATCAAATTATTTGTAAAAAAAAAAAAAAATAGAAATTAATCTTTTCTCATCTATCTGAATTATTGCCATATGAAATTATCTTATTCCTGTAGGCCCAGGTAGTTTGTACATTATCAGAGGCTGCAGTTATGATGGTCTAAAAACTTTGAAGCTGCAGCATGTTCTCTTCAACCTCTCTCCAGAGCTGAAGTGGAAGCAGCCTCAGCAGCTGCTTCATCTTACATCTCGGAGAGGAGAGAAGGACCTACTCCAAGAGATCAGCTTTGCATCAGTTCTTAGGAATAAAAAGGCAGAGCTACATGGGAAAGATGTCTGCGTGTCAGGGTCACTGCTGCTGAATTTCCTGGCAGCCCTCTGGTGTAGAAAGGACAGCACAAATACCTCAGCCAGCCTCAGTACCGCTACTTCCCATCTGCTTTTACATCACTGTTGTGTTTACATAAGTTGAAGGAAGAGGCAGCTCCAGACCATCAGGCAAAAGCCAATGTAAGAATTTCAGGAAGTATGTCAGGAAACACAGCACTAATCTTACTTAATACTCACAGTACTAAGCTTACACTGTAATCATTAACCACCGTGAATTAAAACCCAGCTATAGAAAGTCAGGTGGTACAAAATTCTGAGCAAGATGCGGGCTCACTTCTCTGTGATAGTGTTGAGATAATTTCATGTGTTTTTCAAGTGTTCTTTTTCATGCACTTTGAAAAAAAATAGAAACTTAAGTGGATCACGTGGCACAAGTCTCATAGAACCAACCAGAGAACTACAGAACAGTTGGGCTGGACAGGACCTTAAAGCCCATCCACTTTCACCTCCTGCCATGGGCAGGGCTGCTCCCCAGCAGATGCTGCTGCCCAGGGCCCCATCCAACCTGGAGCTCTTCCAAGAATGTGACACCCACAGCTCCTCGAGGCAGCAGTGCCAGTGCCTTACTGCCCTCTCAGTGAAAAAGTACAAAACTCTTATTTATGAGTTACCATTAACAGCCTTGTACTAACTGGGAAATACGTGCATTCTCTTTGAGAGAGACAAGCAGAGCAGAAGAAATTCAGTATAGCTAAGACTTACAAATTGTGATGGTCTTGCAAAATACTCTAAGGCAGTGTGATTACCTGCAACAGTCAGCAGTGATTTTTATGAAAGCAGAACAGTCAAGATACCATTTCACGAGAACATGCTGTTTTCAAATTACTGTAGAACAGGTATCAGCAGCAGTGTTCCCTCTGGCTGTGAAGGCCACCACTTGCAGCAGTGTTGTACAGGAGCTCCCACCAGCCCACTACTCTTAGCTGGGGCAGTGCTGCCTCAAATGCTCATCCCAGCTGCTGCAGAAGAGCACTTACTGCTTGTAAAAGGAGTTAACTCAGGCTGAGCAAGCATATAGCCAAAGAAAAAACATCCCAAATAATTGTGTTGACTGTACTTAAGATGCAAACACATTTGTGTATTTTTTTTTTAGCCAGTGGAAGATTTCTAATAATATATTTTTCCCTGGCTAATTATACTTGTATAGAAACAGATTTATGAATTGCTAATCATAGCACAGCCTTCATTTCAGATGCAAACAGCACTTAGGACAGTTGGCTCTTCTAAAACAATCCATTTTGGAACTGGGAAGAGCTGAGGTAGCATCAAGAAGTAACAAAGCCCCAGATAAGCAAATTTTGCTATCAGCTTTGTAGCATTACATTGCACCCAATTGCTTATATATTAATTTTGTTTTATACACTTAGTTTCATGATCTAGAATTGCAATGTCAAACACAGACACTGGACTAAAAACAAAGATGAGTCCTGCTGGTTACAACGTATGCTGCTAAGTAACAGCTTGGAAATACGTTTGTCAGACCAGCAGGAGGCTGAATACAACAGGTATATGGACCTGAGAATACACATAACAGGATACTTGCAAGGAAGTCCATTTTCATGTGCCACCTGTGAAAATTCCCTGAGTCATTATATCCATGCACTATAATCTCCCTCATACAAAGAAAGAAGAGAGGAACAGAGAACAAGAACAGAGAGGTAGGCTTAGCACACACCTGATTCTGGCGAAGGTACTTTGGGTAACCACTCCCAAGATGGTCACAAACACCAGTGTAATTTGTTGATGCAAACATACATAGTGGTCCATTTCTTTAATCTTTAGACTTTATAAAGTTGGTCAAGAAGTTGTTTAGCAGAGCAGCAGATTCCAGTCCACAATGCATGAGGGAGTAAGGCTTCCTCACTCCTACCTGAACTCCGACAGTTGTTCTGCTTGTTCAAGTTTCCCTCAGGATGAGCAGCTCACTTTAAGACCCCTGGCCCAAGCAGGCGGGCGCAGGGCATAACCTGCTTTCTCTGCAGCCTGCTGCCTCTGGAAGGGATGCTGTAAGACCTGCTGCAGGAGCTGAACCTAGAAGCAATTAAATTGGGTATGTTTTTATACAAAACGTTTTCCCGCAAATCCGAGCAGTCTCTCCCACCCTCCTTGCTCCAGAAAAACTTCCACGAGTTGATTGCTATTAGTAGTGCTGCCGTTATTATGGTAAACAATTTAATTAATACTCCTAATATTGCTAATATTAGCAATAATATTAAGTTATTGTTAGGACATAAAACAATGTTGGTCAAGGCATACTACAGATTCAATGAGCAAATGCAACCACCGTTTCATTAACATTCATAGACATTAGGAAAAGGGGGAATGGTTTTAAACTAAGACAGGGGAGGCTTAGGTTAGATATTAGGACGAAGTTTTTCACCCAGAGGGTGGTGATGCACTGGGACAGTTTGCCCAGGGAGGTTGTGGATGCCCCAACCCTGGATGCATTCCAGGCCAGGCTGGATGTGGCTCTGGGCAGCCTGGTCTGGTGGTTGGTGACCCTGCACATAGTAGGGGGTTGGAACTGGATGATCATTGTGGTTCTTTTCAACCCAGGCCATTCTATGATTCTGTGATATGATTCTATGTCAATTATTAGCTGATATCTCAAGAAAAAAACTAATTTTACCTCTGAAAAATCATTCAGGTTAGCTTTCTGCACTGCTGATTCTGCCATCCAATTCCTAAGCACGTATCTAGGATTAACGGCTGAAACCAAAAGTAAATCATGTTAAATTTAGTTAGCAAAAATCATCAGAAGCAGATCACAATCACTGCAAATGTCATTGAAACCTTCGGGGAGATTCAATTTGCAGATCAAAAAAAAAAAAACCTGCATAAGAAGGAAAAAAGAATGAATGTATTTATCTGTGAGCTGCTAAAAGTAACTTTTTAATTTGCACTAAGAGTAATGCCAAAGTCGCATCACCCACATGTAAAACAAAAAGTAGAAGAACATCAGATTGATTCAAAGAGGCTTCCCTGCTACGAGCACCAGCAGCTTCTCTAAAGTGTTTTGTTTGCCACAGCTTACATTCCTGCCACACTGCAGGAAAGCAGATTTTGATGTTGTCACTATATTTCTGGAGATCATTAAAATTAATATTAATATTCCTGCTTTCCTGCTGGCTGAACATCTGCCTGCTGAAGGGAAGTAGCAAACGATTTTTTTATTTTGCTTTGCCACTTTCACTTTACCTGTTAACGCTGTCTTTATCTCAAGCCACCGCTTTTTGTCTCTCCAGCACAGGAAAAAAGGAATTGGGCAAGCAGCCCACTTGCATCTCCTTATACTGCTTCTTTGACTTGTTTATCCTTGCTGACTACCCAAATAATTGATGCCTTTGAGAAAAAGTGTGGCCTCACTCCTCCAAAGGCTCGGTGGTCAGACAAGCACAGGACTTAATTCATGTTCCATAGCTCCCTGCAGACAGTCAGTGCTGAGCACAGCAAAGACTTCTCTGTAATACACACAGCCTCTAAAGAATGCTCCATTTAACCAGCTAACAAACTAGAATTTACTGAAGCTATGTAATCAGCAAAACAACACTTAGTGATTATTTTATGTATTGCAATATAATTAAATTCTTTATGTTTGGAACTGAATGACAGCCATTTTGAGCCTCCAGATTTGAGATACAGCAATGTGTGTCTTTACGGCATTTAAAAAAGTATAGGACAGAAATCACTTTCTTCTGTAAGGACTGAACTCTGACCACTTGTGGTCCTGCTAAAATAGAGGTAAAGCTCTTTCACAAAATAAGAATATGGGCTAAAACCAGATGCACTCCATCTCCAATAGTGCTGGCATAAAGCCAGACAAAAGTGCTCAGGTCACATAATGATACGCTGGTACTATGCAGGGGATGTTCAGACTGAATATAAGGAAGAAGTTTTTTACACTGAGGGTGATGAAGAACTGGCACAGGTTGCCCAGAGAGGTGCTGGATGCCCCATCCCTGGAGACACTCAAGGTTGGGCTGGATGGGGCTCTGAGCACCTGATCTTGTGTAGGTGTCCCTGTTCATTGCTGAGGGCTGGACCCCGGGGCCTTTAAGGGTCCTTTCCAACTCTATGATTCCATGTTCAGGTCCTAACTTCCTTGAGAATTAAGACTGAAACACAGTCCATTCAAATATAGGAATTCTTCTTCACATCAGCATTGTGCTACACGTACTTACATAAATTAAATGAAAACCAACAAATAGGACTGCTTGTTGGGAATCTCAATCACCCCTACATAGTTGTAACAACACCCTGCCCTAACCACTAAAAAAAAATAATCTTTTTTTCCCACTTGGTAAAATAATTTGCTGTGGCTGAGAATTTTATTTAATCCAGTAAATGGTTTTCAGTTAAGTATGAGAACAATATAAAAGAATATTAAGGAGGAGGATAATTTAACATGACTCATACAAAAATGATAATCCACATTAAAGCCATGACTCATATCAGCAGGAGAGTATTTGTCCCAGAAAAATCTTAAAAATTGCAAATTGACAAGTTTCACAGTGGAGTTAAAAATATCTGTAACTAACACAAGAGAGAAGATAATTTTGAAAGATTAAGAAAAGCCAGATAAGAAGAAGACAAAGTATAAGAAAATTTGTGCACTTTCAAGTGTTTTAGGATGTGGCCTACAATTTTTTTCTTCATTTTTCTTTTTTAAAGTATTTCTTTTATAAGGAAACACAGTGACAGACTTCACTGGGATTTAGATTATCAAATTTTTTTCATCAACTCCTAAAGGAACTGAGGCTACGCAATGCAAGACAAAGTGCTATAAGAACTAAAAACCAAGTCAAGGGAGAAAAAAAATAAAGATCATGATATGTGATCAATTTAAAGCACATTACCCTGAAGCATTTGAAGATATTCCTCTACACTTAGTAATAACGAATACACTTAGTAATAAGGGAAAGGCAATGAATAAAGAGCTGTTAATGACAATATATTCAAAGGCAGCCAATACTTAGAACAGCAATAAAAAATTTAGTGGGACTTAACAAGCTCATATAAAAATCCAGATAAAAGCATGACAGTTTTGTCTTTAACGTTAATTGTTGTGTAAAAATGCACAATTGTATTGGGCTTACATGGCAAGGATTTCATGGTGGGGTCACTGAAGAGTGAAGAACCTTCCGTCACACCTTAACACTTAGAAGCTAGCAGAAATGTTACAAAGTGTGTTGATCTTTGTTTAAAAAATACAATTTTGTAGAAAATAACAAATTGCTCTCAGTATCCTGTTAGTAACCTCTGCTAGCTGTGCTGCAGGAACATGGCCAGTTATATAGAACGCAGCTAATTCATCCACAAATCTTCACATATCAAATTTTGGTCTGCTACCAAAGCTGAGACCAAAACCTTCATAACCTTCCCCTCTTTTGTCTGCCTCCTGTCCCATAACATCCTCTGAGATGTGTGTGGAAAACACAGTGCTGGTTTACAGAAGATCATCCCCAAACTGGGAGCTTTTCTGATTTGGAACAAAAACTCAGAATGCCAGTCTTCTGTAAAAGCAGATTCACAAATACATAGAAACATAGCAAGCATAGAAAAACTGTGTTTAGACAATTCCCAGCCTTAAATTTTAGGTGAGGAAAGCTGGAAACTTCAAAACAGTAGCTGAGCTAACAGCCTCAGGGTCTCACAGCTAAAACTTCCCAACCATACCAGAAAACAAACAATAAAACAAGCCCTTTTGGTAACTATTCTCATATCAACTTTCTTAAAATGGATGTAAAATTCTAAGCATTCTTAAAAACACAGATGGAACATTAATTTGAAAATCTATCTTATTACTGACACTCAGCACCATCTCCTGCCATCTTCCAGCTAAATCAATTTAAGCTTCTGAACAAATCAGCCAATCAATATCTAATGAAAAAGGAGAGCCATTTCTGCTAGAGATGAGAATAAAGCACCTGCAAAGCAGTGTAACAATAAAGCTCATACAGCCTCTTGTGCACAATTTGGCAGATCCCCCTTTTGGCTTCACTCCCTTTTGTCCAGAGATTTTCAGTTGCTCATTGTCTGTGGTAGGCAAATTGCACAAGTTTACCTCAGCTAATTGCAGACCAACAAAAAAAAGTACAATTTCATAACCACTGTTTCTGTTGTGATAGACACCTATGCATCTTTACCATTTTGGATTTAAAGTAACTCGGAGGGAGAAAATAGAATATTTTATCTTTGAGAACCATGCCTTCCTCTAACGACTACTTTCCCAATTAAATGAGGGTTTTTTTCCCCTGCTTCACTAAATAAATAAATAAATGAAGTGGGTACCTATCAAAAATATGAATTCTTTATAATATACAAAAACAATATGGACATGTTTGAAACTCCTACAAATCCCAGCCCATGCAGCCAGCATAGGATGGCTATAAAAACATTTCCTGATGTTATCAAAGGATCTTTACAGGAGAAGAATAATGTTCTTCTGAGCAAAGCCTCACTTAAGACATCACAAAATACAGCAAGCATGTTTCTACGGCCAATAATTCTCAAGTCCTTTAAAGGCATCAAAAAGAAAAAAAAAAAATGCAGTCCACAAGCACCAAGTCATGGAACAAGCAGGAGAGCCAGCAGCAAACCTATGTAAAAAGCTGGTTGCCATCTCCAAGTGTACTACTTTGAATTATTTTACTTACTTGTCATTCTTCTTCTTCTCTTGATGTCTGAATCACCCTTGTTCCTAAATATAAGAATAAAATTAAAAAAAAATTAAAAACTTGTGAAAGTTGCTTAGATTTTCCTTACTCTTGACACCTTTCAGCCTTTCTTCTGTTGTTAGCAGAGTCAGCAAGCAGCTAATTCCATCAGCTGATTCACAAGAATTCAATACTGACTTGTATATTCACTCATGTCACTCCTAACCCTTTCTCAAGTCATCAGCCCCCAAGAATTCAATTTCCACCTTTTCAGAATTTGGGTTCTGACTAAAATTTCCAAGTGTCTGATATGCACTTTTCACTGCTGTCAGCCATGCTCAGCGTATATGACTGAGAAAAATGCACAGATGTTTTAATCCATTAAGATAAAAGAATTGGTAGGAAGTTATAGCATGAATGTCCCTATCTACACAAAAACTGTGGTGTTCAAACACAGCCTTTATATGCAGAGCCATCCGACTTCCATCCCTGTCATCCTAAGGCAATAGTATCACATTAGTAAAAAATGTATGCACTGCCAGCAATGAAATAGTACCCATCTCTATGCATTTGCACAGCCTGACTTTCTGATTCTTGGAATGAACGTACAGGACTCATATTTTAACAAAACCTATTTACTGAAGAAATTTAATCATTCCCCAAAGCAGAACAAATACAGACCACTCTTCCCTTTTCATTTTTATGTACTTCTGTGTCAAACCAGAGTTACAGTAGTAATTATTACAGAAGCTAGCACAATCTAAATCCACAGAGACAAAAAAAAAAAAAAAAAGGCATTACAAACCATGTACAGTTTACCAGTCCAACTAAAGATCACATAAATCATTGTAGACTAAAGTTGCCATCTTCTGGCAAACGCACAGCTGGTTTTACTTTTAAACTTGAAACTTGTTCAGACTTACCCATCTAACCGTGAGAGGTACATAGAAACCCATTCTGAAAATAACCCGTGTTTTCCCAGATCCTGCAGGGCCCAGAACTCCTAAAGGGAAAGAAAACGTTAGTGACAAGTAAGCAGGATCTGATTCCTGTTAAGCAAAAACTGGAATGAGCAATCAGAGAAAGCATATAAGGAGAAACATACAGCAAACCTTCAACAAATTTTCTTCCCTAAACTCTACTTGTATCTTTTTCTCTATTTAAATCACTCAGTTTTGACATCCATATCAACCCATCTCTTTTACAGCAAATTCTACCTAAATACCTTCAGCATTTGTCCCCTATTTTTCCTTATCTTTTGACCCGTTTTGTTTTTCAATACTTAAACATCAGTATTACTCTCTTCTGCTCTTTGTACGTGGACCAGACATATTTGCAAAGAATAAAGAACAGTCTTTTTTTTTTTTTTTTCCCAAAGAATAAGGAACAGATATTGATTAAAAAAAAAAAGAGTGTGGGGAAAGAGGGCAACTTAAGGCTCCAGGCATAGGAGATTATAAATGATAGGAGGGACGAAAGGCAAGGAGACAGAACAGCTTGGGCTTCCCACTTCCAGTGCTGGACCACCACCACAAACCGGGCTTCCCTGACTGAGAACAGCTGCTTCATATTGCTCAGTTGAGAGAAAACAGCCAAAGCGTAAAGGCAAAAAATGAACATCAGAGAAAGAACAGATTAGAAAGTAATGGACAGAGACAAAAGGAAATAAATAGCAGATATACAAGAAACAAAACAACAAAAAAAAGGGTGAAAGTGACATTGAGTACAGGAAATTTAAAGCAAGAATGAAACAAAGGTTCAATTACACCTGGGAGTACAAAAATATAATGAAAACCCCATTTGAGTATACAATTGAGTTAAAATTACATTAATTACAAGCTGAGGGTCAGGGAAGGAGGTCACAGGTGAGAATGGGATCCAAGCATTTGTTGTAAGATGTGCAAGGTTCAGTTGCTTTAGCAGGAATTTCAAAATGCTATTACTAAATGTAAGCCTGCAGTGTTCCCAAAGGTTTTGAACATTTTTAGATAAATTTTGGTTTACATTTGCAAAAATAACATAAATAACATACAAATCAATATGAGAATGTACTTTGCTACCAACAAAGTAAATGAATCAACAACATGAGAACATAGTTTCATGTAAAAAACTTCAAAAAAAAAATTACAATTTTCACCAGCATAAAATTTCTGCTGCTGTACCACATCAGTTTGGGTCTCAAAATTTGTGAGCTCCACCTTTTAAGTGTATGGGAAAAAAAAAAAAACTAAACACAAAAGAAAATCACCTTCTATCAAGTGAAGGCTGCAAATGACCCTCAGCATAGCAGCAGTGTCACAACTGCATCAGCTCTTGAGCCTGCAGCATTAAAGGGGAAGATACTTTTGCCAAAAGTGGTACTACTGCCATAGTCTAAGCGTGGTTCCATACTGTATGAAGGAGGCTTCCTTTCTTCCAGTTCACCCTTTCTGTACAAATGATTAATTCCACAAATATAGCTCTTTTCATTGTTTCATTGTTTCTGTTCTTTTCTTTTTCTGGTTGGTTGGGGTTTTTTTGTTTGTTTTGTTTTTGTTTTATTCTGTTTTTTTTTGCTTATCTCTCAAAAATAATCACCATCGGGTTCACATTCACAGAACAGGTCAGATTAGATTTCTTTCTTAACAGAAGACTAAAAACCACAGAACTTGGTCAAGATCATTTAATTATCTATAGCACAACTGGAAAAAGAAACAGCAACTCCTTATCTTCATAACATGCTCCATGCACGAGTTCCTTCTTCTCCCTAAAAAGGCCTTTTAAATTCTTATTCAATGATAAACAGAAGCAAGTCAAAAGTTAGGAAAAGACAGTGGCACTTCCCAGGGAAAGTGAACAACATTGTCCATATTATATCAAGGTTTTCTCCAACCTGATACATTCATTTGATATTGCGTGTTCCTAAAGTGAGATGCCTGTATTAATGAATACCTCAGGAATACGGAGCTCCTTTAATTGGTCTGCAGTAATTTCACTGAGCTGTCGAAATGTCATTGTGAAATCAGCCTTTGTATCTTCCATGAGCTAGTGAAACAGAGAGACTTGTATCAGTGCTTTTAAAAATGGAGTACATTAGTTCAGATGTTTGATAACAAGATTAGCAAAACAAACTCACTTTTAGAAGAAAAGCAATCAAATAGTTATCATCCTCACTGTCTCCAAGAAGCCCCAGTTTTCTTTTGAACAATTCTGTAAAACTGAAAAATAGCAGCACAGTAAGGAAGTTATCAGATGGTAATTTGTAGTATTGGGACTGCAGGGTGTGAGCTCTGGAACTGCATACCGGACATAATAGGTTTGACCATACTCTTCCAAAATCTGGGAAGCTCTGCAGAGAAAAAAAGTGAGTGTTAAATTCTCTGGAACTACAAGTCTACTGTAGGCATAACCCTATTGCAAACTTAGAATGGAAACTTCTGATATTTCATAAACATTGATATTCTGAATCAAATGAGATATGTGTTATGAAAAAGTCTGAGAGGAAACATCAAATACATCCACAGCTGTTGCAAGGAAAAAAACCCACAATCTTTCTTTCATTTTCATACTGAGTAAGAAGTCATGAATTTAAACTTGTAGACAAGATGATTTACATCAGGAATCTTTACAAAAGAATGCTGAAATACTACCTCATTATTTCAGAAGGTTGGATGGTCTTCATATGTAAGCATCTTAAAAAACATGCTAGGAAAACTATAACAGGAACCTACAGGCAAAGGTCCTGCGTTAGGGGATGAACAAGGGGCCCCATGACATCTAGGAGAGGCTTCCAGATAGATTTTGCTATTATTTGTGGTTAGCAGAAAACATTCCCCTTCCCTCTTATGCTAGCCAATAACTAGTTCAGGACCAGTTTCCACCTAGAAAAAAAATGATTTTCAAAGCCCATCTCTTTCTTCTCTACTCATATGGTGATTAGATGGTCTCACATCTCTCCCTGTTAAGTGTTTAGGTATTTGAATGATTACTTACAGCTGTTTTTGCCTGGGATCCAATAAAGGTTTCAGTGCTTGTAACAGCTTGTTCAGATTAAACAGCCCAACATTTGCCTGGTTTCCTATCTTATACCTCCCTTCATCATCAGACGTGTTTGGAACAAAATCTGTTTCAAACAAAATATTACAACAGAGTAATTAAAATAAGCAATCACCATTAAAATATTGATGTGCATTTGTTTCTGTACTTAGGCAGCAAACTAATAAAAGTGCTGACGACACTGAAATGTTTAAACTCAGATCACAAAGACGTTTATTTACAGTGGATTAACTCAAGATCTAATATTTGCAAGCCTAAGAAATCTCTCTCAGATTAACTTCCATATGTCATAGATGGGATTTTCCAACTTGAAAATACATTCAGATGTTTTTTAAAAAAATTAAATACTAAAAATGTTTTGTTCAGTGTTTTTACTACATATAGTGCTACTACTAAGTACAAAAAGTATGAAAACAACTGCACAACTAGATTCAGGATTTACAATTGAAAAATAACACGTATAAGCATGCATTTAAAAAAAGAAAACAGATCACCTGAATGATACTTGAGTTGCATAGGCAAGTGTTATATATTCATTCCTGAAAAATTATATCGAATGTGTTCAAGTATGGAAATCCTTATCTGGGAGATAAATATGTGCTACATAAGTGACAGAGTACCCAGAGGTAAGACCTGAAGCCAGAAAAGACCTGTTTTTTTCAGTACAACAGAAGTCAAGTAATACCTATGCTTAAGAGGTTTCATTAATTTGAGGCTGCAATCTCATGAAAAGAGACTGCAAGACAACTAGCCACTACTGGTTCTGAAAATTACTCAGATGAGATCTCTCAACAATAATCAAATGTAATGCACTTATGCATATGCTGCATTTACATTAATCAATCCCAGATTGAGTTTACACATTCAGTTTTATATGCATATGCCATGACAGGATAGGTTTGATTTCTTTTCCTTTCTTAGAGCTGCTATGGCTACAAAGCCAGACCATAATGCATGTAGAGTTGCATACAACTTTTGCCATAGGCTGCTTACAGCAATATGCAATTTTTAGTTTTAGAGGTTTCTGTTATATCATCTATTGAATCAATGAAATGCAATAGGAAGCATTTTTCATGAAAACAGGCTTAATAGCAATATTTTATTTTCAAACTTTTAGCAATCAAAACATAACCTGTACAGCATATTATAAAACTGGTCTTTAGCATATTTTTTCCCCCTAAAACTGTTCAAACAATATACCTACTTGGGTGTTTGGTTTTTTTTTTTTGCTAAAAACATAAATTAATAAAAGTAATTTATTTTTAGTCAAAAATTGTATTTAAAAAAAAATAAGTGCTACACTCACTTGGGTCATAGGAGTCCATAAATCCAAACGGACCATAATCTATTGTTATGGATAACAAACTGAAGTTATCTGTATTGCACACACCTACAATTAAACAACAAGAAGAAACAGAAGGTAACATTCCACCTCAACTCTAGATTTGCTGTAAAATCAATCCACTGAATCTAGACAACTGGAGAAGTTCCCTTGCAGAAATCAGATTCTGGAAAACAGACTTGTTTCTTTTATTCTTGACCAGGCAGGTGTATGAAGTATGAAAATTAGGAACTGTTTGTTACATTATCCTGCATCTGGTGTCCATACCTAGATGGCACTGTTTCCTTTTCCAATCAGTGTGACACAGTATTGAAACAGCATCTTGCACAGTTCCTCAGTTAAGTTTCTTTGCACGTGGACCATGTGCTGTATTAGCAACACAGTGCTACTTTATTTTTCATAGTACAAGCCTGAAACCAGGGTGGACAGCACTGTATCCTACAGTACATACACTACAAAAAGTTCTTATATAGATGTATCAAATCCTGAGCAATTAAACTTACACATCTTTGCACATCAGATAATCACAACAATACAGGAAAACCCATACTCTTGCTGTGCTCTTTGTTTCTGCCAGTTAAAGTCAGACTGAAAAAGTCAGGAATTTTTCTCAACTCTGTTATGAAAAGAATTGCATGGTATTAATGCATAACAGATACTGCTGTAGGCAAGGACATCGGAAGGACTGCAGAACAAAGGAACAAATAAAAGCCACCTTTAAGTAAGTAATTATAGAGTCACTCCTGTAAAGCCAACACCATGACAATATCTACTGCAGCTTACCATGTGCAAAACCCACAGACATCCACAATGCAATCAAATTTGCTGTCTCTGATACGACTGTAGAGAAAAATTCCTAAAATCAAATACACGTTTTACTTCACATAAAACTACAGAATACAATAAGCAATATAAACATTTGATTTACTTTAGAAATACTTTGTACATTCTATTTCTAAATGTGCATCTCTGATCTCTGCCAACTGGAATCATTTGTTCACATCTAAATGATGTGACTGCAAAATGGCTTTATTCAGCAGAGACTACAGTTAAATAAATACACACAGATGCAATAAAAATACACAGTTATGTACATATGGATATACTAAAAAAAGTGTAAAAGTCTTAAAAAGGAACAAAGATATGACATATACTACTTCTACATTAAGAAAAGCCTAATTCATCACATTGTAACCATTGCTCACTTAAAAGTCTGAGCAGTAAGAGAACAGAAAGTAATGGAAAATGGAGCTTCCCAATAAACACATCCACCATCAGAAGTGGTGGAAAAGGAATGCTCAGACTGGGTTTTGAAAAAAAGAAGCAGTTTTTTGTTTTGTTTTTCAACCAAAGAGTAAATGAGTTATTAATAAAATCTGAAAGATTATTTCAGACGTTGAAACTTTATAAAGCTGCAAACTTTGCAAAGCTTTGTACAATGCTTTGTTCACAAGCTTGTGGAAAACAAAAATAACTTTCAAAAATACTTACCAGATACCTATCTGAATTGTTGGGGACTATTGATGGAAAATGTTCCTGGATGATAAAGTCCAGCAATCTCCTGTAACATGAGATGCATTAAAGAAAAATTGTTACTTTTAGAACTGAGCATTCAGAACTTTTATTTCTTAATAATCAGATGCTGACCCACGGCCTGCTGCAAACAGGCATTAGAAAACACCATCTATTTACTCCAATGAGTTTTAGATTAAGCCCTTCCAAATACTTAGAGATACAACCTAATGTTCTAGTTATAACTATAACCAGAGACTGTCATAGAGTTAAAATTATTCCCATGCATTTCCAGAGCACAATGGGATCTGGTTTAGCATAATATCATATCAGACTTCAGGAAAGAAGTAATTTGTGGATCCAAAAAAAGCTGCATCATTGCAAGTAATAACTCTAGGTCAGAATTTTATGACTGAATTCTTACTAAGTAGGGTTACTTGCTATAATAGCTGGCCATTCCCCTAAGCACATAGCATTCCTATATGGCAGGTTAAGGAAACTGGGATACATACATTAAAAACTGTGATGCCTATCAGATGCTCCATTTACAGATTTAAAGCAGAGCAGCTGGCAATTAGTACAATTATGAGCTCTGTGTAGGACTGTTGTTGCTAGAGCTAGCCAGGGCCACTGGCACAGGCAGCTGTAAGAACCACCTACACTGGGTAGGCGACCCAGGTAAGGGCTGGACCTGGGCAAGGGTTGTGAGGCTGTGCACACAAATATTTTACATTCTAATCAGGCTGTTGGAGCAAATCTCTGAACTCTCCTTGCACTGTGACTGCTTTAGCAGAGTACCAGTTGTTAGAGGGGCAACCAGCATACTGCCTCAAGAGATCAGGCTGCCCTGGGCCCCTGTTCTGTATGAGCACAAGAGATCTGTATGTGCTCATTAAAACCAATTGCTTGCACATACTTCAGCAACAATAAAAAACATTGCTGTGTCATTTTAAATTCAGTTCCCTAGTTCAGTCTTTTGGTTTACAACAAAACACTCCTGTGAGATTTCAAAGAAAAAGAAAAGAAAAAAAGGGGGAGGGGGGAGGGGAAAAACAGCATAGAGTCACAGGGAAAGTAACCTTGAATTACCAATTAATGCAACATGCAACAGCTGCTACTTCTCTCTTACCGTTTCTAAGCACCCCAAAACAATTGCTATTGCAAGTTGTTATCAATCAGTACGTTGCTTCCACAGAGGAATGATCAATGTTAAAACAAAACAAAACAAAACATCTGCCATGCTAATTGCCTGAGATGAAGTAACATACAGAAGCTAATATTGCTAAGAGGTTTAAACTTCTGCAATACATTTTTATCTAATATGTGTGCCTGGAGGCTGTAGCTTATACAAAAGCTCGGGCTAGGGGGTTTCTGCTGCTTTAGCCTCATAGACTATGACAAATTAACTCCTTATTCTCTAAATTTATAAAACTTACCAAAACATACAGCTTCCCCTGTCCTCAATGCTTAGTTACCAGAAATATTTGAGGTACAATAGCTTTTTGATTTTACAAGAACCAGGCCTAAAAAAACACCTGGGGGATTTTATCTCTGTGTCTTCAGAACCTTTGTATGTTTGTAAAAATACAGCAGGTTATCTTTCTAGGTGTTGCGATCTTTCTTTCTCTATAATTTATGCCTGAATTTCAACTGCATATATGCATTCCAACACAAATTTGATCATTAGGAGAAGCAACGTAATTACTACAAAGACCAAATCCAAACCTTAGTAAGTCCAGTTCCCCAGAATGAGCCAAGATTTCTAAGGATCCTATACGAAACCACGATTTGGCAAGACGGAGTACTACTGCACCTTAAGTATAGATACATGTTTAAATGTAAGTGGAGTATCAGCAACATAAAATAATCCCATAGTAGATCTATTACATGCTGTTTTTTTCTATTGACAAATAATTTACATGTCCATAGTTAACAAGTATTTCTAGAAGTATGCTCTACACACAACAGCTGAATACACATAATACTACACTACACATGCATTTCAATGATAAAGGTTAATTTGCTGGAAAGCAATTGGTACTTTTTACTCCTCCACATCTTCATCTGTTTAGCAGTATGCACTATACCACAAACACAAGCAAAATTCCAGCAGTGCATTAACATTACAACTCCCTCACGAAGGTAGCAACAAAGAACAAACCAGCATAAAACACTTCTGATTTTAATCCATGCTGTGCCATCCCACTCTTTTTCAGAGCAGGCTTAGAGGATGGAGCAGTGGTGCAGCTACAATAGTGCCCCATCATTATGGTATTGTGGAATGATGGAAATTTTCCCTAGATTCCAAAATCACATGCCATTACAAAAATGAAAAAATGTACAACACATGCCACAGTCATAGCAGGTCTGTTCACAGGGCTTCACTTCTTTATCCAAGATGTACGTGAGACTGATTTTCTCAGGAAGGTTCTCTATCTCAATAAATGAAATAAAGCCAATTGCACAGTTTTTGTTACACATAAATGGCAGAGTTGATTTTTGCATCGGGGAATTAAGTTACAGTGCTAAATCATGTTACTTTGAAATGTGTTCATTACCTCTCTCTTTCTTAATATTTCCATTGTAAAACTGGTCCCTCCACACGTCGTCGTCACTTACAACTAAGCTGTAAGAAAGAAGAAGTAAAAATTAAGAAATTATTATAGGAACATTAATTTACACTGGAGATCAAACTATATTTTTTATGACTATTTTTTTCAAATCCTTTTGCTGGAATAGTTCGTTTTTACAAACCACACAGGCAAACAGTAAAGCTGAAGCTTACCAACCTTCATTAGCAGCATGCTTCCCCTTTCTACTTACACAGTGCTGCCCATTTTCCATCACCTACATTGTTCTTGGGGAGAGGGTAGCATTCAGAAAAAGCACTGCATCCATTTGGAACCCCAGTGACTGATGAGAGTGATGATAACATAAATAAGTCACAAGTCCCCTGAGGACAACAGCAAAATTGGAAAGAGAGAAATTAGAAGCCAAATTGTTGCATCAGATTGCCTTTTATGTGAGCTAAATCTGCTGCCTCAGTAATCTCAGGGACAGATCTGGGATCCTCAGCAATCGAGAACTCTGCAAATAGTATCAACACACAAAAAAAGGCATAATTTTGATGATGCATTATAATTATGTCTTTCTTCTTCATTGCTCCTTGTACTTGAATTTTTAAAAAGAATATCTTCCTTTCAATTGCCTTACAATTCTGCACGTCCTAGACATTTTCATATTTATCCAAATACTGAGATCTGTGAGTGCTTGGAAAATAATCAGTTGTGCTTGCTTTGAAATATGTCAAAATTTACACTCATCTTACAAAATAAAATACATAATTTCATTCTATTTTCTGTTATTATCCAAAGAAGAATATTGCATCAATCATCACAAGCCCTGTGGGGGCATCATTTTCTCCTAAGGTTAACGTGTAGAAAGTTTTCTCTCCAAAGCAACCGAGATTACACTAACCATCCTGCAGAAGGAATGCCTGGTGTTATCTTTTGAAGGAAACATTCTTCCTTCAATAGGCACAAAAGACTTCTGAGAGCCTAAGAGCAGGAAAAAATTACCTCAATTCATATAATTCTTTGCTTTTTGCTTAGCTTTTTGCTAATTGAGAAAGGTCTTTCAATTCAAAATAGCTGGATGGAACAATACTGGAAATTTAATGCAGGTAATTAAGGTATCTTTTAGGTAATTGAACAGAAGAAAAAACCAAACTTTCCTTAGAGGAACACAGAAAAGGACAACAGACAAACCTAAGGCTTTTGACAGTACTTCGAGGCTTATGACACTTTCTCCCACAAGACCTTTGTAACAAAGCTTAGAAAGTGCAGGGCAGATGAGTGGGCAGTGAAGTGAGTAGAGAAGTGGCTGACTGGCAGAGCTCAGAAGGTTCTAATCAGCAGCACAGACTCTAGTTGGAGGTCTGTGACCAGTGGTGTTCACCAGGGGTCAGTGCTGTGAGGCCACATCTGGAATACTGTGTCCAGTTATGGGTTCCCAGTTCAGAAAAGTCAGGGATCTCCAAGTAGGAGTCTAGTGGAGAACCACAGAGATGATGAGGGGCCTGGAGGAAAAAATGAGACTGGGACTCTTCAATCTGGAGAAGACTGGGAGGGGATCTCATAACTGTTTATAAATATCTTTAGTGCAGAAGTCAAGTCAATGGGGACGGACTCTTCTCAGTGGTGAGCAACAGTAGAAGGGACAATGTGCAGAAAAAAAATATACAGAAGTCAAAAAATTAAAAGAAGGCTTGCGAACAATTAAAAATGTCTCAGATGAAGTATCAGAGGCTGCAGGGTACTCTGCCTACAGTTCCACTCTCAGTGCTATTGCTTTACTGGAGCAATGTTAGGAACTTTTTTCCAGAAAGTTGTTTTTGAAGCAGTAAAATAATGAATGTTATGTCTCTATGAGTAAGGATACAAAGTGCTGATGTGAGTGAGCTGAAAGAAGGAAATCTTAATCATTCAAGAAGAGCAAACAAATTCAAAAAGACCCCAGATACCAGTACAACAGTGTGCATCAGAGCACGAAAGGAAAGCAGTCAGGATAATAACAGTACTCAGTTCTGCTGTTTCAGACCTCTGCTCAAAGGGATTTTTTTGTCTGTGTAATCCTTACCACACTCTGCACAAAATTCCTACAGAATACCAGCACTTTTCTTACTGAAAATCCAGGGAGGCAGCAAGACTTTCATAGTTACTAATACAAGTTAATGAACAAATGACACTTAAAAGCTTGCCAGATAATTGAGCAGCTGCGTCAAGACACCACACTACCACTATAAAAATAGTTTTCAAATGGCCCTTCCAGTTTGAAAGTATCATTACCTGTACAGTAGCAGGTAAGAGGTATACTTGGCAACAGGAGACAGAGAGCTGAAATCTCTCTTACATTAGCAGCTGGAACAGCACTCACTGAGGAGGAGGGGGACTACATTCCAAACTAACCTTAGCTGGAGCTTAAGGGCTAGAATTCGTGCTCCCAAGTGTCTGCATGCTCTTCTGCCAAGTGTTGTGCACCTAAGGGCCATCTCACACTGAAGACTGCATACTGGCTTACCTCTTTGACCTAATCCCTGACGCTGCTAACTGGTAGACCCATTGTGCGACTAAAATGGTACCGTGTGAGGGAGCAATCCTTAGCAAGCAGTATAGTCACAAACTGTAGCACCCCATTGGGAAGACAGTACTTGAAATTAATAGAGCAAACCAACCTGCTGGGTGTTCTGGATTAAGCTGCAAGGCTTTTCCCTACAATTCTGCCAAAAACTCTTTTTACAAGAATTCTAAGTGAATCTCACCAGCCTCAGTGCTACAGCTCCCCATGGGGAAGAATACAGATATCAGCTGGGGTTTTTCCAAATGAAGTCTCACAAACAGTTGGTAGAGCTTGTACAGCAGTTAAGGGAGCCACACATTTTACCAATCTGCCAGCAGAGAACTGAAGCACACTATGTACTCAGTAGAATTGGTACACAGTTAAGTGGTAATTTCACATTGGTTTTGCACTGAACAATTTGTTGAAACGACAGCAAAGAAAGGACATAACCTTGCCAGATACTTCCCTGCTGATGCTCTGGCAGACTTAACATTTGCATCAATAGCTAACAGCAAAGGTTCTCAAGGTGAAGTCAGTGAATAAACCATCAAAATGTCATTTACAAACACCCCACTTCAACAGAAAAAATGTGTTAGAATTAATGCTACAGAGATTTGCAGACACTTTGCAAATACAGAAACCCTGACATGTGGCAACTGGGTATTGGCCTCTTCCAGAGTACATTTACTTCTTTAAAGCCTGAAATTCTGAAGTACAGACATATGACTCCCTTGGAACACAAAATAAACTTGGCATTTTAAACACAATCATCTGAAAAATTCAGTTTAGTTCATTCTGAGAAGGTCATCTACACGAGTGAATTTTAGTCCTCTTTGGTTCAAAAAGAATTGGTTTTAAATGAGTTTTTAATACAATTCCCTCTCTGCTCAAGGTGTGTTTATATAAATAAGGAGTTGGAGGTAATTATCTACATTCAAGACTATCTCCAATATTATTACCCATTTATGTAACCATTTTTCCTACCAGTCTTAAGAATTGCAAGTAGCTGACTATAACAACACAGAAAGAGTTACTTTCAACATTTTCCTGCTTGGCCTGATTCTCAAAAAATTCATCCAAATGCATAACTTTAGTGTAATAACAGACTGTAACTAAGTACTAACAGACTCGCTGATTATCCACAAACTTGAAGGGTACTACAGAGAAGGAATCCAGTCCTGCTGTTTTTGCAAGCTTTTCTGGTGAATAAGAAGTGAAAGAACAGTTATATATATATATATATATATATATATGCATCTAATAGAAGAAATTTGGATTGTAGTACCATAAAAATGAGAAAGGGCAGTTATGTCAGATACAATTACTCTAATTTCTCCTTTTTACTTTCTTCACAAATGAACCAGATTTCAAATTAAATTAAGGTAATTGAGTTAAGACAGTCTTCCAAGAGCACAACAGCTGTTCAGCACAATACAAAGACAGTACACTATACTGTGTTTAAACACAATAATATTTTAAAGCATATCAAACATAAAAGTGAATGGCTAAACAGCTGTAGCTCATGATTACTGGAAAGTTTTATCCAAAAAAATATCTAAGAAAAGGTTCCAATTGCATACATGTGAAAAGAAAGATTTGTCCTTGTTCTGCTTTATTGGTGCTCAGTGACTCGGGCACAAAATTACCTTTAATTAAAGATGCTGTGAAAAAAGAGTAATACCTAGCAGCTCTGCTTGTTGGAATTCCAAGATAATGCATAGCCTCACTACACAGAAATTCCCGCACAGAAGAGCGAAGCACAGCTCTTCCATCACCATTCCTACAGAGAACAAAGAAATAAAAAATCAGTCACAAAATCTAGGCAACTCTAAAACAGAAAACATCCACTTTTGCTATGTATGAATTAACTGCAACTCACCGGGAGTATGGGGTCTTTCCTGAGCCCTTCAACTGTAGTTCCCACCTCTCACCACGCCTGCAAAATACCATCAGAGTTTGTAACAATGCACCCTGGGGTTTGCAGCTGTACAGAATACAGAAGTAGTACAGTCATTTCAGAAAACATCGCACCTGTTTGTGTACACTCCAACCAAGTGGGCTCTTCCGTCCCCCAGCTGACCTGCCCAGCTGCCAAACTAGCAGAAATGAACATCAAATTATTTCTTCTATGAGAAACAGCAGTTAAAGTCAAGCAGTACAAATTGCATGTAGGTTCGCTTCATTCCACGCAATACAACGACACATTTGCTCGGGGAGTAATTAAGATATTGATCCCTAAAGCACTTTCACATTCACACCAACAATGAATCAGAAACCACAGACTGACAGAGTAATCCTCATACTTTCTTCTCTACCCTCCAGCTACAAAGCCAGCTACTGACCTGTCTCTTCTGCATAATGAGCCCTTCAACCATCGTGGCTTGTAATAAATACATGGTTTTAAACTGAAAATTATGCACCAAATTCTACCACTCATTTTCATGAATAATTTCGTTTATTTTAATGAAACTTAACTCTTATTAAATCTTGCTATTGCTGAATTCAGTGAGGTTCTGTCCTTCTTCGCTCCCCTGAGCCAGTACTACCTATCACCAATCAGAGCTTCTCAGGCTGTGGGGTACAAAGCAGACTCTGCAGCTAACAGAAAATATAAGAATAATTTACTTCTTGGAAAACAGAGGCAGAGAAAGCAGACAGGGCACCATGAAAGGGCATTGTACATCTCTCCTATCCGCAGCTCTCACAAAGAGCAAACCTGCCACCTAAAGTACATGAATGCGTGCGGACATTATGTGTATACGTGCATACATTGCCAGTACATATACGTACATAATTCAAGTAAATAATATAATTTAAGGCAGAATCCACATTAAAAGAACTACGCAATTCCACCTGGAAGAACAAAGGTTAGTTACCTGATGACCTCCGTACCTATGGGCCAATGGAACAGACCCATGTAACACTTTTTCACCGCTGACAAACTGAAGAAAATCAGATGTTTCTTTGACAGATATATGAAGATCCAAAATATCTTCAATAACTTCCTGGAGAAAAATATAATACACGTAGTACTTGAATATGAATAAAATTCCAATGATAAAAGATGTGTTGTCTATATGTTTTGTTATCAGAAGACAACTCACAATATGGTTTAAATGTTCTATTTGTTTAAAGTATATACCAACACCTCGATAATAAATAAATACATACTTTAATATGCATTTTAACAATTGTTATAAACTGAAGAGGAACCAAAATAATACCAACCTCTGAAACAGCCACAAGAAGAACTGTGGATTTAAAAGGTATGGGATAGACAATGGAAAAAATGCAGTTTCTCACAGTACGGACATAATTTTCTTGTATTGGATCAATTGGAAAAGAATCTGTATGAAACACATGAGAAATGGTAAAAAAACAAAAACAAAAACAAAAAAAAACCCAGCCCTAACCATATTATTTTTGATACCTTTCCTCTTACATCCAAGCAAAATACTTCAGAATCAATTAAAAAAACAAAACAAAACAAAAACCAGCCACACAAAATGAACAAAGAATCAAAATTTACCAGAACATGTAATCATAGAGTCATAGAATCCCTAGAGTTGGGAAGGACCTTCAAAGATCATCTAGTCCAACTCCCCTGTGATGAACAGGGACACACACACGTAAATCAGGCTATCTAGGGCCTGATCCAACCTCACCTTGAAAGTCCCCATGGATGGGGCATCAATCACATCCCTGGGCAACCTATTCCAGTGCCTCACTACTCTCATTACAAAAGACTTTTTCCTTATATCCAAAATTAAACCTGCATGAAAAGTAAGCCCAGATAAACTTAGGATCTTAATCTATTTAAGATTTTTCAAAGGAAGGAAGGATTGTTCCTAAAGGAACAAGAAGACCATGCCAATTTTTAGCTCTAAAACATATTTTCAATCAAGTGTGATCAGAAGAATCTCCAGAGTACTGGTGGGTGGAAACTGGACGTGAGCCAGCAGTGTGCCCCTGCAGCCCAGAAAGACAACTGTATCTGTGCTGCATCAAAAGCAGTGTGGACAGGGAGGTGATCCTGTTCCTCTGCTCTGTGCTGGTGAGACCTCACCTGGAGTACTGTGTCCAGATGTGGAGTCTTCAGTACCAGAGAGACGCGGACCTGTTGGAGTGAATCCAGACGAGGGCTACAAAAATGATCCCAGGGATGGAACACCTCTCCTACAAGGACAGGCTGGGAGAGCTGGGGCCGTGCAGCTTGGAGAAGAGAAGGCTGTGAGGTGATCTGATAGCAGCCTGTCAGTATCAAAAGAGGAGCTACAGGAAAGAAGGGGATGGACTGTTTAGCAGGGTCTGTGGTGACAGAACAAGGGGAAATGGATTCAAGCTTAAAGAGGACAGATTTAGCTTGGATATAAGGAAAAAGTCTTCTACAGTGAGGGTGCTGAGGCACTGGCACAGGTTGCCTAGAGATGTGGTTGATGCCCCATCCCTGGAGACTTTCAAGGCCAGACTAGATCAGGCCCCAGGCAACCTGATTTACCCATGCACGTCCCTGTTCACTGCAGGGGAGTTGGACTAGATGACCTTTAAAGGTCCCTTCCAAGTCTAAGGATCCCATGATTCTAAAGCAGTTTTACATTGTACTCAGCTATATGCAACTCTACAACGTATTTGCAGCAGCCAGAAGAGCTACACCCACAGCTGAACATGGCAGCAAACAGCTGAAGCCACTGCACGCTGGTAGCTGCAGTACAGTCCACATGCAGCGATGATCTCCAGGTAACACTCTGAAGTCTTCTCTGAGCAACATAACAGCAAATGAATGCGTCAGAGGATGCACTTCTTGCTGCAGCATACATATGCAAAGACATACTTCATTCTTCACCCAAAGCTACTCTGACCCATCTAACAGCACAAATTCTGTGTTATAACACTGAGCTAATACTGTGCACTTTAACACCTTTTTGTATTTCTCCTTGCAATACTTTTACAGTTTTGAACAAAAACAGTTTTGTGTTGAATTCCCATGCCTCACAGTCACCAATTTGTAAAATCACAGAATGGTTTGAGTTGGGAATGATCTGTAAAGGTCATCTGGTCCAACTCCCCTGCAACGAGCAGGGACACCTACACTAGGTGCTCAAAACCCCAGCCAGCCTGACTTTGAATGTCTGCAGGGACAGGCATCCAACACCACTCTGGACACTTTGTGCCAGTGCCTTATCACCCTTAAAATATTAAAATATTAAGTCATTATCTCAGGAGACCTGCTGTTAGCCAAGTTTCTCAATGCCTTTTAGCAGCAAATTCTGCTTCAGACATCTGCCACACAGTGTGTCACTGGTTGTTGCCCTTATGCCTGGATATAAAATCCACCACCATGTTCTAACAGGACATGTTGGAAGGGACCCCAAGGTTCACTGAATCCAAACCCTGGGTCACACAGGGACCACCAAAAATCCAAACCCTCTGGAGCGGTGTCCAAACATTTCTTAACTCCGGCACTCAGGGCCGTGCCCACAGCCCTGTGCAGCCCGTTCCATGCCCAGCGCCCTCTGGTGCAGAACCATTCCCTGACCCCAGCTGCCCTCCCCTGACACAGCTCCATGCCGTTCCTTCGGGCCCTGTCGCTGTCACACAGAGCAGAGCTCAGCGCTGCCCTCCGCTCCCTGTGAGGAGCTGCAGCCGCCATCAGGCCTCCCCTCAGCTCCTCTGCTCTGGGCTGAGCGCAGCCAGGGCCCTCATCCACGAAATCATCACCTCTAATAATTTACACGGGAGCGATACGGAAATAACCTCTGCTATTACAGCAGTTCTGTAGGTTACACAGCCTCGGGTACTGGAAATCGCTGCCAGCTTATTGCACTAACGCTGAACTGGGACTTCTGCGCCGCTGCATTACGACAGCTCCCTCCGAGCCGCCCCTCTCTCCGCCGCCCCGAGCCACTCGCGCACCCAGCAGGCTCCCCGAGCTCAGGCCCCACGCGCCGATGCCGGCAGCCGCCCGCTCCCTGTCACAGCTCCGCTCCAGGCGCGACGCGTTCGGGCCCGGCACAGCGGGGCACAACGCCTCCGGCGGGCCCCGGGCCCCGCAGACCCACACGAGGCAGGCGAGCACCCCGGGGAGAAGCGGCCCCGCCAAACCGCCGCCCTCCCCGCGGGCAGGGCTCGGCACGGCTGCGGCGCGGCAGGGCGGCCGCATGGCTCTCCCCGCTGGGAGGGAGGCGAAGCGGCGGGGGGGGGGAACGTAACCGCTCCTCCTCCTCGCGGCCGCCCCGCAGCGGGTCGCGGCGCCGGGCTTCCGCCTCCGGGTCGCGGCGGTGAGGACGGCGCTGCCGGCGCTGCCGGGGACAGCATGGCCTTGCGCTGGTGGTGGCGGTGCGGCGCTTTCTGCCGCCGGGCGCCGCCGCTCGGCCCCGCGCCGCCTCTCCTCCCGCCGGGTCCCGGCCCACGCGCACCGCCGCCCGCCCTGCGCGCCGCGGTGAGTGCGGCGGGCGCCTGGAGGTCACCGGCGATGAATGGGGCGGCGGGGCCCGAGGAAGGAGCGCCGAGCCGGGCGTGGCGGGAAGGCGGCTCCGCGTGCTCCGGGCGGCGCGACGGGTGCGGGGCCCCGGGGTCCGAGCCGCGCCGAGGGCTGCTAAAGGGTGTCTGAGGACACCGTCGGCTTTGGGGTTACGTTCTTGGCGTCCGCCGGGTGTAGGTGTAAATCATAGCCGGGAGCGAGCCGAATTATAAACGGCTTCAGGGGAAAACAGAGCGTACGTTCTAAAGCTAGTGCGGCGTTTTACAGAAAGCTCCCGTCCCCTTCTGTGCGAGCGGTGCGGCCTGGATTTGTCTGTAAGGCGGGTAACGTTTGAAAACTGCACTTCCGTGAGTGCAAGAGCAAGCACTGCTCGCTGGAAGCGCACTGAGCGCTTTGCTGGCTGCTCCTGCGAGGGGAGAAAGTTCACTGCGCCTGAGCAGAAGTCTGTAAGTCGGGATCTCATGGACGCAGGGGCAGCGGTGCTTCACGTGATGCACAGGGGATTATGAGGCTGCCTTTGCCGCTGAGCCGCTCAGGGAAGAAATGGGGAGGTGCTGAACGCTTGTTTTTGTAATTAGATGTTTTCCATCCGTTGTAAATTCTGTTTTTGAAATTCACCTTGATTTTTCTTTGCACAGATGTGTCACTTTCCCCAAAGAAGCTCAGTATGGTCATTTCCAAAACTGTGTAGTATATCTTGGCGGTAAGTTGGAGGCACTCGTTCCATGGTTGGTAAAGACATAGTTACTGGCTGAACTGTGTAGTCACCCTGAGCCATAAGCACAGACTGAAAGTAGGGTTATTTGCTACAGAACATTGGATAATTCCACGTTAGACCACTGTTGTGGTGTTGGGCTGGAGTCTGAGTCCTCCATTCAGAAGGGCAGTGGGCAAAGCTCATCTCAAATCATGAAATTCATTTTGGAAAACAAGACACACTTAAGAACCATAACCTTCAGCTCCAGTGAATATAAAGAAATAATGAGGCCCAGGTATAGTGTACCTTGATGTATGCAGGTAGAACTTTGACCCTTATCACCACATGGCATCATGATAGCAACTGGAAGTATTGATTTAATGTATAACTTAGGTCAGGCCATCTCAAGTGTAAAGGGAAACTTTCAAATCCAAGCCAGGAACATTTGTCTAGGAGTGGGAAGAAATCTGCAGAATAATTGTATTGCTAGAAGATGAAGGCTTCATCTACAACTGTACACTGTACTGTACAGTGTGTTCAAAAGGAATAAGCTGAGAGCAGTGTAGTTTGCTACCCAGGAGGCTTCTGTAATCTGTTAAGTGCATGAGTGCCTGCAGAGGATGGCGATTATTGGTTTCTAAATGCTGCACTTTGCTGGCTCCTAAAAGTCTACAATCATCAACAAGTAGCCTTGCTGTCCTTCTTCCTCATTAGTTGGTTAAAATGAGTATTTTGATGCCTTGTGTTTATCTTTTAGCTATTTCACTATTTTGGGGGAGTGGGGGAAGGGGGAGAGGGAAAAGATGGAGGAAGGTGTGCTTTGAAAGGCTTCTGTTTGTACAATCAAGGGAAGTTGGCTTTTAACAATATTACTCTTCTGAAAAACACTGTTACCAGGTTTTATCATACAAGTACAGCCCACAAGTGCAGCTGCAGTAAGACAGTTAGTGATGAAAAATACCAAGACCCTTTTCAACTTGGCAGAAAAGACTTGAAGAATCTCTATGAGGATATTAAAAAGGTAAGGAGTTTTGGTGACTGTTCTGGGATATTGTAATGATTCTGACTTTAATTGCAACTGTTGTGGAGGATAGTTACTTACGGACTGTTCTTCATGTTTATGAAAAGCTGTTTGTGAACTTATCTGGAAGTAAAGAGCGCATTTTGACATATTGTATAGAACCAGAATGCAATTTTTGTTTTTCCTGACTTACAGTGCTTGAATACATTAATTGTATTTCAGATTACAATGAAAAGTAAAAATGACATCAACTTAGGTTGGGTGAATGAAAAAGGCAATAACCTTTTATGTGCATACTACTTGAACTGTAAGATTGGCTTTGTGACTTTAATGCTGGTATCATCTTTTCCTTTCTGTAGGAGTTACTTGTATCTACTGCTGAACTTAGGGAAATGTGTGAATATTACTTTGATGGGAAAGGAAAGGCCTTTCGACCAATGATTGTGGTGCTAATGGCAAGGGCTTGCAACATTCACCATAGCAATTCCAGGTGAGTCAGTTGCTCTTGAGTGTATGGACTTAGATCATACTTGAAATGCATCATTCCTGCATTTCCCCAAAAATATGTGTAGTAACTTTATGGAAATAAAATGTTCCTCAATAAAGCCTGAGTTTAAATTCCATTTTGAAGATGTATTTTTGAATTTAGCAGTGCAAAATGGACTACTGGTTTTGTTTTATGCTTTGAGGTGAGAAACTATGGGCTGTACCTCCATTTTAACTGATGATGGAAAACAGTCTTGTCAAATTCTGGTAAGGCTTTTAGCAAATTGTAGCTTCTTACATAAATGGTTTGTTAGAATCTGTAACACTCTTAGAAACTCTATTAACTGTTTTTCAGTTGTAACCATTTTTGTAGCTTTTAAACTCTTGAACAGATGAGAACTTTGTTGCAAGAAGGGACTTTCATAATGTGTACTTGTTATTACACAGAAAAGACATCAAGCAGGTAATATAATTGTATTTGATGCTGTGAGACATTGAGACAGCCAGAGGTTCCCCGACTTTGGGAGCAGATTTGTATGCTTTAATGTCAGGTTCTTTATTCAAAGATTCTGCTGTTACCCTCATGGTTTTCAGTTTGAGGAGTTTTGGCAGAGTAAAACATCACTCCTTGCTCTGCCTGACAGCAGATACTTCTTTCCACATATTCCTGTCAGTTTTGTTTGTGTTTTGAGGTAAAATGTTGGCTGAAGTGCTCTCTGCATTCCAGTTATGTTTCCAGTCTGCCCTCATAGAATTTCAAGTATGACATTTTTGGTCCCTAGCCAGAAGTGTCTTGACTAATTTATTGATCTTAAGGGATTTCCCAGCTACTGCACCATCATCTCCTTAGTGATAACTTAGTGCCTTGTTGGATTATTTGATTTTTATACCTTAGAGCACAGCATATATTTTGTGGCTTGATATGGCACCTTTCCCAGTATACCAGTGACATTTTCTCCCTTCCTATGTGAATACAATTTCTAAGGAGAAAGAAAAACCTAATTGGCAATATCCTGTCCTGCGTGTGCCAGCTTGTCTTGGACCAACGAATTTCACTTCAGCTTAACTCAGTTTTCTGTACAGTACCACTCTGAGACAGTGACAAAGATGTAAAAAGAAGAAATAATATTACTGAAAGTCATCAGGGACATCCATTGTCACAGCACTGATTTGCTTAATATTTTTACGAGTGCTCTTGGCATGAGTGTGGCAGTGGCACTTTCTGATGACAGTCGTTCTTGATGACTTGCCATCTGTGGTGGAATGAAAGGTAGAACAATTAAACAAGATTTTCTGTTTGAGCTTGGAGGCTCACAAGCGTCCCATTAGGGAATAACGTCAGCGAGATTTGCAGATACCTTCTTGGTGAAAAACCTTGAAGTGATCCTTGTGTGCATCGATCACAAAATAGCCAGTTCAGCTAAGGAAGAGCTGATATAACCATACAGTGCTTTGTGAAATCATCAGTTCCATGATTCCTGTGTTTAAAGAAAGATTAGGGATGGACTGCAAGGATAATCAGGGTGAATCTGCAGGAAGAAAGCTATTTAAAACAATGTACAGTATTGATAAGAATAAATGTGTTCAGGATGGAAATTTAGGAGAGTTTTAGAATTGAAACTGAGTTTTTGTAACAGCCATCTGGTCAGAGTAATGGAAAAGATAGTTCTATCTCATTCTAATGTGTTGTATGAGAAGTTTATCAATAAAATTATGTAGTGTACAAGCAATACTAAGAAGTCCAGACTTGATGTAAAGAAGCATATAACATCAGATGTGATGATTGAATCAAAGACAGTAATTAGCCATAGGAAGAACTGCATTTACTTTTTGCTCTTTTTTTTTTTTTTTTTTTTTTTTGTTCAAATCATATTTGCTGCCTTTTAACATGTATATGCTCATGCATATACATCTGTCCATGCATTATGCTGTCTTTAAACAGTCAGGACCACTTTGACATCTGCCCTGTGCCGATGAGAAAGTGTGATCTCAGACTCTGAATGCTACATATTACTAAGTCCAGTACCCTCAGCACCAACACGGATTTATAGATATCTGTGTCATTTGACAGCTTTTGTACATCTCTCAGTTTTTGTCAGCACCTCCAAACTATGCTTGATGTTTAAAAGTCTCATTAATTTAAGTGTACCTTTTATGAGAAGAGGCCGAGTCACCATCTCTGTCATGTTTAGTTTTTTCTTTTTTTTTTTTTTTTTTTTTTTTTTTGAATGAATGAATGAATGAATGAATGAATGAAATTCTGAGTAGGAAGAACAGAAAGGTTTCAATAAAGGAAGAGAATGAAATCCCGGAGTATTTATCTTCCTCTTTGCTTCATGGCACTTTTCTTAAAGACTGTAATTGTAACTGAAATTCATATAAGTTTATGCAAGCCTTTTGGCTGCTGCATGATGTCCAACATCTTTTGAGGGTTGGGTAAGCCGTGTGAAAGAATATGCTTTCATATTTTGCATACCTACTTGGTATGTGAATTAGTGAAGTTTCATATGCATTTTTTTCTCTTTGCTTTTAAGTTTCTTGAGGCAGGCTGTGTGTTAACACCTGTTTCATCTATATGTATACTTCCAGCTCACACAGTAATTTCATGATTGCTTCTTACAGAATTACTACTTTTGGTTGACAAATTGTTCTTCCATCTTTTTACTGTTCATGAGTGTAGAGAAGCAAACTGCATTTTTGCTACTCTGCTACTCTGTTGTAGATCTGAGAGGGGAAAAAAACAGCCTTTGCTTTCCATTCTGCCTCTCTTGTTGCTTGTTTTTGGGTTGGTGTTGGTTTTTTTTGTTGGGTTGGTTGGTTGTTTTGAGATGTTCCTCCTCTTTCAACTTGTCATTTCTCTTAAAGCATTTTATCATGCTTTTGCTCAGTTAGTGTTGATTCTTTTCCCAGACTTGTTTTACTTTGGTTCCCACACATGTAATCAGATAGTGGACAGAACATCCATAGACTTGTGGGGTGAGCCCATTTCCTATGCTGTTTATCTTTTATGTTTAACTTATATATATATATATATGTATATAAAAAATTCTGCCTCAGGGGCTTGTATGACTGCTGTTGAATTTGTTTCATCTTAGAATCATAGAATATCACGAGTTGGAAGGGACTCATAAGGGCCATCAAGTCCTGGCTCCACACAGCACCACAAAAAAATCAGATCATGTGTCTTGAGAGCTTTATCCGGATGCCTCTTGAATTACAGCAACTTGGTGCCATGACCACAGCCCTGGGCAGCCCGTTCCAGTGCCTGAACACCTTCTGGTGCAGAACCATTCCCTGACCCCAGCTCAGTTAGTATTGATTCAGGCCCTCCCCTGACACAGCTCCATGCCGTTCCCTCGGGCCCTGTGCTGTCACACAGAGCAGAGCTCAGCGCTGCCCTCCGCTCCCTGTGAGGAGCTGCAGCCGCCATCAGGCCTCCCCTCAGCTCCTCTGCTTTGGGCTGAGCACAGCCAGGGACCGCAGCTGCTCCTCATGCCACTCCAGACACTTCACCGTCTTTGTAGCTCTTCTTTGGACACTCTGTGATAGTTTTGTGTCCTTTTCATACTGTGGTGCCCAAAGCTGTGTGCTGCTCAAGCTAAGGCCGCACCAGTGCATTGTAGAGCAGGACAGTCCCTTCCCTCGCCCAGTGGCCATGCAGTGCTTGATGCACCACAGCGTGCAGTTGGCCTTCCTGGCTGCCTGGGCACACTGTTGACTCGTGTTCAACTTGCTGTCAACCAGGACCCAGGCTGGATGTGGTTCTGGGCAGCCTGGTCTGGTGGTTGATGACCCTGCGCACAGCGGGGGCGGGTTGAAACAAGATGATCATTGTGGTCCTTTTCAACCCAGGCCATTCTGAGGACCCCTTAGGTCTCTTTCAGCAACACTCCTCTCCAGTGCCATACCCCCAGTCTGTATGTAATAGCCAGGGTTGCCTCTTTTCAGGTGCAGAATCCAGCACTTGCTCTGTTAAACTCTGTGTGATTGCCCAGCTCTCTCATTTGCCTAGAGGCCTGCAAGGCCTCTTCACCCTCAGTGAAGTCAACAGCTCCTCCCAGTTTAGTATCATCAGCAAACTTACTCAAAACACCCTCTAATCCCACATCCAAATTTAAGAGACATTAAAGAGAACTGACCCTAAAATGGAGACCTGCTAGTGACTGGAGGCCAGTCTGATGTAGCACCGTTTACTACAACCCAGATCATGCTGCCCTTCTCAGCTGCCTATAATTTTCTGGATCCAGCATGCTTTTGCTGGTTCTTCAGTTGTTTTTTGTTGTTTTTTCTAGGTTCTTTTTGCTTTGTTTTCCTTTCATACAGTACTACTTGAAAAGGTACTACTCTTCCTTGCTTGGTTATTAAAATAACGACACAACTTCATAAGGATATGAATCCTGATCTTTTGAAGCAGTCCACAGTGACCTCTCAGTCTTCACAGAGCCCCACGAGAATGGATGAAATTTCTTAGGGAGTGGAGACAGATACCCAGATAGCTCTGCTTACTGATAAGTGATATGATCTTCTGAGTTTAGATTTGAGAAGGTTAGCTACATAGAATGCCCCTAGCAGGTTAGCTGGCATTCTACAGTAAGGCTGCTTTGTTTTAGTCATTGTAAAGAGAATGACTGTTGTACGAGGCCATAATGAATCCAAAATATTGTCAAAAAATAGTCTTCCAAAGCATTCAGGCTGTTCTGTGCTAGTATGGTTTTATTTTTCTCTTCTCCTTGAATACCCAATTGTCAAAAGTCCAGCTCTGAGTCTTCATTTTTTGGTTGGTTTTTTTGTTTGTTTGTTTAATGACAGCAACTTATCTTTGTGTGAGGATGAAAATTACTGTGAAGAGTTGAAGCTGAGGTCATGCAAACCCTCAGTTTCATACATCCTCTGACATTTCTTCACATGACACCTGAGTGCAGAATTTCACAGGATTATCACCTAACCTGATGGGTCCTCTGTTTCTATTTAAGATATATTCTCCAAGGGTGTTTGTGTATAGGAATTTTTGTCTATTTCTGCAACTGAAATGAGAGACAAACAAAAAGAAAGACAAAGAAGTACAGAGGCATCTTGACAGAAAAAATAGTGAGTACAAAATGTTTAAGGAGAAAAAAAAGGGAAATAAATTTATCAAAATGTTAGGAGAAATACTTAAATATAATGACATAGCCAAACTGGAGTGAATATTTCCTATCATATGGGGATCTGCCAGCAACCCTAGCCCTCTTTGCTTTTCTTCTTCATTATCAGATGCCTCTATTGTTTGCTGTTTCTCAGTTGTTCTGTAATTTGTTCCTGGTTAACACATCCCTTCTCTACGCTTCCATTAGTTTGTAGTGTCCTTCTGTGTCATAGGCTGTGTTTCTGAAGTGTTACTTTCTTTTAGCCACATGAACTTAACAGCAGAAATGTACTTAGAGGAGTGTGATTGTACAACAGAAATTTTGCAAGTTCTGTTGCAAGTTTCTGGCCTTCTGACTGGCAATATTTACCTACTGGCATACACATAGCAAAGCACCTTGCTGCAGCTGTTAATATTGTGTTGGTTTGGAAGGCAGAAATTTTGTTCACCTGTAAGATCAGCCTTGGTCTTGTTCAGTGCATTTGAAGCAAGTTCTGGTTCCCTGTGGTACTGTGTGCCTGTGAATGATTGCTGCAGAATCAAGCAGGGGATCCTGTTGAAAAGTAGAATGTAGTCAAGGACTTACACGTGCATTATATTCATTTCTAAAAGATGAAGTTATGGTTACACAGAATATATTTGTAATATATACCACTTTGGGGTGCTTTTATTCTGAGAATGACCTAAAAATGGCATCACTGCACTCAATGGACTCGTGGTGATCCAGTTACCTCCTGACCTGAGTTTCTACCGGTACTTTTTGCTTTTGTTTTGCAGGCGGAGCTGAATGAAAAATGACAGGGAAAAAGGAAGATCCCATTTCTTTTGTGTTTTCCCTAAAGTAGGCATGCTCTGATTCCAATTTTTTTCTTACAAGGTGTTTGTAGGAAGCTACTGCAAAATTTCTGGCCATAGATGGGAAGAACCTTGCTGGAGAACTTCCGGAAATAGCAGCTTTATAAAAAGCCTCCAGGTTGAATTATCACATGTGATATAACTTATAAGAAGCCAGACACATTAACCGTGCCATTTTTGGTCATTGTCAGAAATGAACTGCACTGTAAAACAGAATTTTCAAAACCTGTTTTTGAAATGTCTGTGCTTGTGCTGCATTCATACTACTGAAAATATTGGCGTGTCTGTGAGTGTTGCCCTTTACTGCTACTTCCCAGCAGGAAGTCCAGTCTGCTGACATAACTAATGAAAAAGGGAGTCCCCAAAAGGAGACCCGTGCATGAAAGAGACTGGAGACTTTTACAGTTGTTTGAAGGTAAGTTCTCCTACTTAGTAACAAGTATTTTCTTGAAAACTGCTTAGACTGAACTAGAACTTGACTAAATTACTAGTCCACAGTGAAACTTACCATCAAACAGCTATGAAGGTTTCCAGCTCTTACTTTTGTGTTATTCAAAAGCTACATTTTCACAGCCTGTGAGCCACACATCCTGCTATTGTTCAGGATGTAGAACTCCCACTGACAGCAATGCATAGTTCTGCATAGAGGTAGGTGTCAGAACACTGTGTTATGTCAGCAGACTGCAAGATGTTCTTTCATTTAGTGATTAATCGCTAGATTTTAATAGACTAGGCAGTGCAAAATTTTAGATTTCATTCAGTTGAGCTGAAATGATTAACTTCTGCTTTATCTCAGTTCTTTTTCTCACTTCTTATTCTGTTCTGCTCGAAAATGGTGTTATTTGCTCTGCTAATTGTATACTACAAGTAAGGTGTTTATATATCAGAAGTAATGTTACCTGTTCTATTTTTTTCTCATCCATGTGGGATTGTTAGGGCTATAGGGCAAAGCTGATAGGGGTAGCATTTCTGGGATCCTGCATGCAGCTTTTGATGAGACCAGAGACAATGTAGATAATAAAACAAGGCATTTGGGTAGTAGGGTCGATGGTGCTTTTTCTGAGCTAGGACAGGTCTTTTGTGTTCATTGTGCCAGCCTTGGTCCATAGGTAGTTGTCTTTATGTTCTTCCACCTAGGTCTTTTTCACCTAGTTTGAAAAATAAAGTAAATGTGAACTACTGAGAGTTGAATCATCAGTGTTGGTTCTTCCCAAAGGCTGAATTTCCGTAGGTGTTAGGTAGTTTGTGTTTACAGCCCTAAAATGATTGCAGTATAATTCTGGTTAATTCTTCAGGCTTTTGAAGACCTCTGATGTCTTGAATCAGATAAAATAAAAGGATAAGATCAGCAAATTATGTATTCAGATGTAGAATAAAGGTTTTCTTTGTCTGCTGATCTCTCCAGCTTGCTGGTTTGTAGTGTTAACCAGCTTGGGAGAGTTTGTGGTGCTGCATCTTAGAGCAGAGCAACAGGGAGATTAGGAAAACTTTGAACTCTGCTACAATGCTACTTGGCATCTTTTTCTTTGCCCTTTTCCTGATTTCTGTCTTCTTGGAATGAAGCATCCTTAATGCTGTGCTATTTATTGCAGTATGGATTTAGCAGGATTATAGTCAGTAACTGAGGAGTTTCGCAACGCTGTTAATGGAGCAAGACAGAAAAGGGCCTAACAAGGTTGGAAACGTTGCGTTGTGCTTGTTGTACTAACATAATCTTACTTTCTCTTGTCTTCCTAATTTCAGGTTTGAAAGATGGGGTTCAGACCATGGAAAAGCTGCAACAGCTGTTTTCAGCAAAATATGTTTTGTGTGGTTTTAGTAGAGATTTCTTGTAGTTGCACTGCAGCACACAAAATGTATTTAATTAAATGTCAAATCTTGTTTTTCATTTTAGGGAGGTGCAAGCAAGCCAGCGCTCTGTGGCCATAATTGCAGAGATGATCCACACGGCTAGCCTCGTTCATGATGATGTTATTGATGATGCAAATTCTCGCAGAGGAAAAATGACAGTCAACCAGATCTGGGGAGAGAGGAAGGTGAGGGTGGAAGGATTGCATTTTAATTCTGGCAGAGCAGAAACATCCAGGCTCTTTGTCATGTTTCTATCTCTGGGCACAGTCTTGGGATAATCCAGAAAAAGTGTGAAGCATTGTGTCCAGGTAAGACTAATGGGTGTTCTGTTACTAAACTTTTGGAAGCATTAGAGAAGCTGTGATTGTAGAGTGGCTCTTAATGCTTTCAACTTCCCCGTGTCTTTCACTTTTGAAGTTGTACCTCATTCAAAACACAGTAGGTTGGACTGTTTCAGTGATGCATGCAAAACATTTTCTGGTCAGCATGAGGTTATTCTTCACTCTTCTTGAGTGCTGCTTCTTCACGGAGTGAAGGAAGGCCTTAATCAGAACATGTAAGGAAGAAAGGTAATTACTGGTACATCAGAACTGATCGAGGCAGTACAGAGCTGACATGGCATAACAGTCACAGCAGAACAGTCAGATAGAGATGAAATGCTTCAAACTTAACACGAAAACACATTCAGGTGTTACACAGTGAGAGAGCACTACTTATGCAGAAAAATTTAACCAGCAGTATAAGATAGAAACTGAGAAATGGTTCCAGTTTTAACGCTTGGCTATCTTCTGCTTTCTCTCTATTACAATGAGAAATGTATGCTTTAGGTAGGAAAATGATGTGATGTGAGAAGGTGTGCCAAAAATAAAGGAAGTTGTATCATATATACTAATACTTGCAGGAAAACAAAAGATTTTTCTTTTTCCTTTTTTTTTCTTTTTAACTCTTAGGCAGTTCTAGCTGGTGATTTCATCCTATCAGCTGCTTCCTTAGCTTTAGCACGAATTGGAAACACTACTATCATCTCTGTTCTAACTCAGGTGATTGAAGATCTGGTGCGTGGTAAGGTCTTTTTCTATTTTTATCTTCAGGCTTGTTTGCTTCAGCAGTAAACCCACAGATAAAAACTTCCATCTGTGCAAAATTTCAGGTGAATTCCTCCAGTTGGGTTCCAAGGAAAATGAGAATGAGAGATTTGCTCACTACCTCGAGAAGACTTTTAAGAAGACTGCGAGTCTGATAGCAAACAGTTGTAAAGCAGTATGTACGTCTGTCTCTTCTAAAGTTAACATACCGTACTGTAAGCTTCACAGCTCATCTCCTGATTATTTTTGCTTTCTCTGGAGACGCTCCAAAGTAAAGCCTTTAGATGATGTTCTGCCAGAATGAGTCTGATATTGTGTGCTTTATCCCAATTCAGCTGGGTAGCCTCCAATATTGGTTTTCATTTCTTCCTGTTTTATATTCATTCGCAGATGTATTGATATTCAGAACAGGGTTCACAGTGGCAGCTTCAAATTTATGAAATTCTGCGAGTTTGGGGCAGTGTTTTTTAATGTCAGTTAAGAATTCTTGATCCTGTAATATGATTTTAAGTCTTCTTTGACATCTGGTCCCACCCATCAGTGCAGACTGGGACTTCAAATTATAGCAGTGGGAGAAAACAACAACTTGCATATATATACTCCATATTATATTCTCAAAAAACACAAGCATGGTTTGTCTGGGATCCTGCTATATCTAACTTTACCTGTCAGCCAGTTCTGTTAATTCACTACAGAAGGATCTGATTCAAAATGATACCCTTATTCAAAAAAACTTGTTTAGTCATGGTGCAGAAAATGCAGAAGCCATGCACTAGTCTTATCCCCGTTGAGTTATATATAAGATTGAAATCCTTTTCTTTTCTTTCTTTCTTTCTTTTTCTTTAATGGAAGCAATTATAGCTGGTGTGTGACATAGCAAGAGAGTTCTGGGGGTATTAGATTATAAACCTGTGTCAATCTTCCTGTGTTCTCAGAGCACTTGTGTATTTGTGCCATAGACAGCAGCTGAAAATTGCTTCTATCCAGAAAATCATGTAGAATGAGAGACACACATTTTGTGGGGAGGAAAATTATCTTTCATTCTACAGATTCTTCTGGTCAGAGGAGAGAACTTAAATTTTCTGGATTACTTGTATTGATGATAGAATGACCCAGGCAAGAATTTCCCTTTGCAATTCCTTTATGTTAGTGGGAGTTGGAATAGTAAGGAACGTCATTATTTTCTGTTACCCCCCAAAAAACCCCAGAAAGATTTTACATGAGCTTTGACAGTCGTTCTACTAGAACCTTCACGGAGAGAAAGATCACCATCCCACTGAGGGGGGTCTCGTCACAAATCTATTATTTGGAATGTTTTCCTTTTCATAACTCACAGGAGAATCAAGGATTTAAGCACTTACTTCCCTACTGTTGTTGTGATGCAGGTGAATGGGAAGGACACGTGCTTGGGTGCTGTTCTTCAAGTAACTGTTCTGAATTGTTCCAGTGCTCAATTTCTGCACATTTATATGTAGTAGAATTTATGTTATAAATTAAAACAAAGGAGGTATTTCTCCTTAAGGTGAGATCATACTTGCAGGACATAGTATCCATGACTTGTATATGCATGCCTACCTCTGTTTCATGGATTAGGAGAGCTCTGCTGTTTTTCTCAGCAGTGAAAAGTTTGGGTGGTTTTTTTTTGTTGTTTTGTTTTTGTTATGTTTTATTTTGTTTTTTCTTTTCCATTCATATCATTTTGACCATAAATCAGAAGGGAGTTCTGTCAGTGAAGATGATCACCAGGATCATCATTGTAGCTTGAAAGGAAATTCATCTGGGGAATGAAGAGTATTCACATCCTATTTTCTGGGACAAAACTAAGGAGGGAGATTATGGATTTACAGAACATCAGCCGTAACTGGGCGAGTCACCAGATGCAGTTCAAATCCTTTTAATGATAGGAAAAGACATCGGTTAATTTTGGTGCATAACTGAGCACAAATATTAACTGGAATGTCAAACTAGTTCAGGAGGCATCTTAGAATTGTACACTGGGTAGAAGGAATGCAGAGTATTCCTGGTAAAATGTCTGAGCAAGGTAATCACTAGTCTGTCAGCACTCGTCTGTTCAGTGCTTCAGATATCTTCTGTGTCTCCAAGGCATCACTGCACTTGAATCCAAAGTCCTTTAAGATAGCAATTACTATTGTTTTTAATTGACAGAGCAGTATGCTCAAAATATTAGAGCCATCCCAGTCCTCAGTTTCTTTCTACCATAGTTTTACATGGAGGAATGTTACCAAAGTTGCAGCCAAAGTAATACATTGCAAAAGAAAATGATGGCAGATGGCCCAGGGGGTCACTGAAGGCTTAGTTACTGAAAAGCATTTTTCAGAGAATCACAGCAGGTGACTGGTTCAAAATTTAATAATGAATCTGCAATGGAATTTCTGTCTGTCATCAGTCACGCTGGAGATGGCAAAATAAATTTAGCAGGTTCTTATTCTTTCTTGTTTTTAATCAGGCTTTAATGTGAATTCCTAACCCTTGTAAAGCTATTTGTATTTTGCATAACACACTTTCCAAACAGGGATTTAAACATGCTTGTTGCAAGATCAGTGTGAAGTTGCACAAGAGATGGATTTGTTTGGTAGGGGAGAGCATGCAGCCTCTGGGAGTGAGACAAGACTGCGTATGGGAGGTCTGGCTGAGGGACTGAAGGAAAGAACAGACTGCAGCTCTGCATCTACTTTAACTAGTTCACAGTTTCATGTGTGCACTGGGCTCCTGCTGAAAAAAACATGTGCCAGGGTATGGAAGTGGTGCTGAAGAAATTAATACCTCTGAAATACTAGGAGCTGAAACACCACGAGCAAAATGGATCTCTGCCCCATCCTCAAACTAAGCATGCTGACTACAATAATGTCTGATGAAAGCTGTAGGCTCATAGTGGCATCAGATGGTCAGCTAATAAATTTCCTTATAGTAGTTCCTATGGGGTTTTCTTCTTCATAATCTGTTTACTGTGAGAAAGATTACCATAGATACACTGCAGATATTGAGACAGATAACTTATACTTGAGAACATGTAAAATGCATGAAAATGCAAACTGTGGTCAAAAGAGTTGTCTGCTGCATGCGGAGCTGCTGGGTAGATGTCTTCCTCTAGCAGGTAGGCCTTCCTAACCTCCTTCCTAAGAGTTACCAAAGGGGATTTGAAGAGGCTGGAGGAGAGTGGGCCCTGTAGCAGTGAAGGCTAAAAGCATAAGGGGCTGCATCGCCAGCACATCAAGACAGTATGGCTGGTTTCTTTTGCTTTGCACATGTCAGACCTCACTGGCAGTACTGTACCCAAGCTGAGCTCCCTCATACAAGGCCAAGGTTCACATTGTTGGGTGAGTTCAGTGATGGCTGGGGGCTGAAGCATGCAGCATAACAAGAGTTGGCTTCAGCTTGGAGTAGAGAAAGCTGAGGGGAAATCCTCATGTTGTCTCCAGCTGTGTCAGAGTGTAGGAGAAGATGGAGATGCAGGGTGAAAGGAAGAGTTTTTCCATGAAAATTTTCAATTAGGTGTTGAGAAAAAAATCTTTGTGAGTTTGGTCAAATGCTGGAACACGTTGCCCATACAGGGCGTGGGATTTCCATCTTGGAGATGGTCAGAACTCAGCTGGATACAGCCCTCAGCAACCTGTTCTGACTGAAGTAAGCCCTGGTTTGAGCAGATGGATGGACCAAATTACGTTAAGAAGTCTCTTTCAACCCAAACTATTCTGGGATTCCACTGGAAGAGTGGTGCTAATCACCTGGAAACTGAGCTGGGTGAGCTGCAACCAAGAAGGTAGGATCCTGCTTCAGGATGGGGTGTGGAGGAAGGCTGGAGAGCAGCTGAAGGGGAAGATTTCAGAGCCTTTTCCTTTCCAAGATGGCCCCCCTAGGAGAAGGATTTGGAGAGCAAACATCTCATGTGTCATTTAGACAAGCATGTTTCTTCCCAGCAGCAGGTGCTTCTGTTGGGGGTACAAGTCACCAGTGCAGATGTGCAAGTGTTCGAAACCCCAGCTGCTGTATTTTCACATGGCAGGTGAAAGATCAGGATGTATCCAGAGGTGATGGCAGAATATTTTATGGATGAGAGAAGTCAGTAGGGAGGCAAGATTGGTTTATAGGCTGTCAAGTAACACACAAGATTGGAAACAATTTTCTGTCTTAAAAAGTGTGTTTGAAATAATACCAGGCAGATTGACTTGGTTGAATGAATTCAAAGAACCTTTCTGAAGAATTTGTTCCACTTGATATAAGGAAGGATTTTTTTTAATCAGAATTTACTGGAGGACATGTCTGAATTCTTGCAAGATTAAATTTTTAATCAACAAACCCCCACATTGGGGAGCTATAGGATGACCTCCAAGGCATCAGCTTTATCACTTAAGCATACATAATTATATGTATGCTGTTGCACTGATTTTTATTTGTAAATGTCTTCTATTATGCCAGTATGCCCTCAGGCTGACTCCCATTGCTCCCAGAGCAGCAGGCTGACTGGGACAAGCCTGCCTGCATCCCAGTGAGTGTCCATTTGGGGGCAATAATCCACAAGAGCAATTTTAGAAATTGGATCCTGGAGAAGCCCTATGGGAGGACCCACAGGTTTATGGTGTGGTCATGGTAAGAGAGTAGCAATAGGTCTGTTAAATCTGATGGATTTATTTTTTGGTCCTCTGAGATGTTTGTAACATGAGTAGGACATACAAAGGTCTTCTCTTGCAAAGATGCAAGAATTCATTTTTGCAGTGATGAATTTTCTTGTGTAAAGAACTCATGCTTTTGTTTTTGAAACGCACATGCAGTGCTGTAATTCTCTGTGTGGGTGATGTCAGTGCTCCCAAAGAACGGCCCACCTGCAGTGACAGCTCTACTCTGACCTCCCAGCTTCAAGAGGAAGCTCTTCTCCAGCTGTAGCCCTTCCTCCCTCCACCTACCAGTTTGTCCCCACTCTGACTCTTTGCTGTCAACCAGGATTTTGCCAATTGAATGTTGTTCTGCTCAATTATTTTAATTCTTTACATTAAATTTGGTAATATGCAAAGTTGGCGTGGGGTAAATGCAGTCCCTCTGCCTTGCTGATCTTTGTATTACAGAAGCACCAAAAGTTTTCTAGGCACTGCACAGCAGCAGATGATGTTAGCTTTGAGGGGCAAATACTGCTAGTTAAGAGAAAAGCTTCAGAAGGAGGGTACAGAGGGCAAGGTGTTCTCCCTGGACAGTCTCAAGCAAGTCCCACTTGAGTGCCCCATATTTGCAGCTCACAGTTTTAATGGCCTATGTCATATGAATAGACATAGGTAGTGTCATTTCCCTGCTATGCTGTCCTTTTAAATAAAACTGGGAAGAGCGAGATGTTGATGACTGAGACCCCTGGGGGTCTGCTGTTACCCATCCATGAAGGCTATGACTGGGAATTTTTTGGTGCTTAGTTACAAAATGCACTGAAGCATGAAATAGTCTCCAACTTTGTATACACTGCATCATTATTAGGGTATATGTAATACATCGATCCTTCAGCATCTAACATTGTTTCGCATCTCCATCTTCATGTTCACCCTCAAAGCTATTCCTGGACCTGCTTTTAGTTGGGGATTCTTTTCTTTCCCCACATTTGTTTTTAATGATCCTACCTTTTGTGTTCCTTACAGAGATGATCTTTGTAATTTACTCACTCATTTTTATGTCACCTGGTTTTCCTAGCGCATTCTTAGTCTCGCAGTAAATGAAATGCATCTTTGCCCCTTCCATCAGTCACAGCAGACTTGGATGGGTTTTGTGCCCTATTCCTGATGGCTTCATTGAGGACGGGAATAAAGCAATTTAAACATAGCCAACCTCATTCTGCAATCAATAGATAAGTGCAGAAGCATAACTGCCCTCCCTTTGAGGCGACATATTAGTTCCCAGATGTTCCTCAGTCCTATATTTCAGTTTTGTGGAGTTTATTTAGCGAAAGCTCTCTCTCAAGTAGTCAATTCCTCTATCTCTGCTCGGTTAAAGTATTTATCTCAGTTTTGGGATACTTTTGTCTACCTCGGTGTGCTTTCTTCATTCACTACCTTATTTCTCTTTGCCGTTTATCCCTTGATACCTTTGTCTGCAAGCTTATCAGGTGTCTTCCGAGCAATTCTGTTTCAGGCAGATAACATCACCCTTAAAAATAATCTTATCTCAACTGACCCTCCTCTGTGGGTGCAACTCCTCCAATTTTGTGGATCTTTTATGAGGCATGCAGTGTGCAATTATCTGTTGTCTGACTTACAATTATCCCCTGGCTGATTTATAAATGTAATAAATTTAATTCATCTGTCTCTGGACTGGATATGACTATTAGCCTGCATATGCAATGCATCTTTATTTCTTCCCTCTTCATCCGTGCATTATAATTTCTAACTGATGAATATTTAATAAACCTAATCTCCTACCAGACTTGAATATATTCTCAATACTGCACTGCTCCTCCGCTTTGTTTCCTAATAAGCTTGGCTGTCGTGTGTATCCAAGAGATAAGCAAGAATTTGCTGCTGAGTCAGCATTTAATCCTTTCCCGTATTCTCCCTGTTAGTGCTTGCTGTGTCACCCTCTGGTCTCAGGCCAGAAGTGGCTCCTGGCTGAACCTTTCTATTCACTTGTTTTGTTTTTCTTTTCAGGTTTCAATTCTAGGCTGCCCCGATCCCAAAGTTCACGAGATCGCATACCAGTATGGAAAAAACGTTGGCATTGCTTTTCAGGTAGTGCTTTTGTTGAAATAAGGGGAATCTTTAACTTTTCCCAACTGTCTTAGAAACTGACGTGGGCTGTCTTAATTCTTTCTATAAATGTAATTTTAACAAGGATTTAAAAAAAAATGCCTTAAGCTAATCTTCGTTATTCCCTTGCAGCTAATAGATGATGTGCTGGATTTTACATCGTCTGCTGACCATCTTGGGAAACCAGCAGCAGCAGATCTCAAGCTTGGGTTAGCCACAGGCCCTGTCTTGTTCGCTTGTCGACAGGTAAGTTAAAAGAAACGCATTTACCCCAAACCAAAAATGTACGTGGCTCTTCACACCCACACAGAGATCCAGCTCACACGTAACACTTCTTCTGTGTAAGTGAACACAGCCTGGGCACATGTGAACAGTGAATTCAGTATCAGCTGGAATTTGAGTGCATGTGCATGTGTTGTCAGATTGACAGACACCTTCCTCCACAATTAGTCTTACCATTAGGACCCTTGTAGCAAGAAAAGCATTAGTCTTTTGCTGCCCTCAATGCCCAGACTTTGCAAAGGTGCAGGTATTCTGGGAGATTTTCTGCACACTGGCTGCTTGCTCATGTTACTTCCTCAGACACCATGTTCTCCCCAGGCTGCCTACGTAACCTTTTTGCCAAGTTCTAGGCTTTGTATCCATTCTGGAGCACAGCTGAAAACATGGGAAGCTTTCCCTTCTTTACAGTTGTGCTGCTGGAGGTAAAAGTAGTTTGGATAAGTGAAAGGAGTACAACAATAAGTTTAAAATTGGTCAGGATTTTTAGTGGCATGAGAAGATTTAGAGGAGTTAAAAGGATGCAGAAATACTAGTAGCACCAAAAGGAACATCAAAATTGGTAGTAATCCACAGAAGGGAGAAAGCCTTGCTCAGGCTTCTGCTTTACCTGAGGAAAGATTTGGGACTTAGAAAGCAGTCTTTCCTTCCAAGCTTCATGAAATGCTAGGTGGCACAACTAGTTCCAGACAGAGCTCTGGGCTGTGTTCTCTCAGTGGAATTGCTCAGAATTTAAGATGGGAAAAATTTTAAATAATTTCTTTTAAAAACACAGCTTTCTAACATTTACTGTCCCCTCTTTCTTAACAGAAAGAGCCCAGGGGGAGACTGGAATGTATGCATGTATTTGTTTCTTCATCCTTTGGGTACTTACAAGGACACGCATCTCAGAATAGACAGGAAAGGGAGGATTATCAGCTGCTTGGGAGTGCAGACTGATGCATGCTGAGAACAACTTCCTCCATGTGTTCAGTTCTTCCCCATAGGTGTGTCTGGGGGGGCATGGAGACGTTCTTGAATTATTATTGCAGAATTTGTTGGTGAGCAGCAGGATCTTGTTAGTCAGCAGCAACTGGAGTTGTCTAAATGGACAGTGAGAGATAGGTACAGAAAGAGGGTGCAGTTGTGTAATGGGTTTTTTTATCTACTTGTATGGAGAAGCAAGGATGTAGTACAAAGACACTGACAAGGACTTGGCAGAGAAAGGGTAACTGACCATCTTTTGGGTGTTGAATATCGCATTGTTTAAATTAAAATTATTATTTTATGAATTTGCTCGGGTTTGCTGTTTGTCTCTTTCAGGCTCACTTATCACTTGATTACTTGTATTTTATAAATAAATAATATGGAAATACAAAAAAACCTATCCGCTTCATTTTAAAGCCTGACTTGATCATCATAGGTCACTTCTAAACACTTCTTCTCATTGTGTCTGATAGATGAGAAATGTAAGTTCTTGCATTGAAAGGTAACTTGATTGTCTTGCAAAGGTTTCCTCACTAAACAGAAAGCTATGCTGAACATTACCTGCTGTTTTCAAGAAACTGGAAGAACAGCACTACAGGCTTAAGTGATATATAAACAAAGTATAAGTGCTAAAAAGAAATCCAGAGCTAAATGCTTATCTGTGCCACTAGTGAAAGCAGTTTCATCTATTTTTATCTGAAAATAAAAAGTCCTGAGCGAGGACTTGAAGATAGTCCAAAATGTAATTGTTACTTATAGGCTGTCTCCTCTTGGAATGAATGTTACTGCTGTCCTGCATACCCTTTAATTTCTCTGGCAGTCCTCACATTGTCTTGCCAACAACCACACTTCTGCTTTGAATGTTGTCCAGCTTTCAAGTGACAGCCTTTTCTTCTTGTCCTCTATCCTCTGCTGAGATGCAGTTTTTTCACTACAGCGTTGAGTGACCTTAATACAAAAACGTTCAAGCTCAACATAAGACCTGTTCACACCATGAAAAGTTATTTCTTTTTTTTTAAAGAAATACACTGCTGTACATTACTTCTTGAGTTACTCTTTAAGTGGAAAAGCTGAAGAAGGAGGGTTTATTTTTATTACAGCCAGTCTTGTCAAATGCTCATAAACTACCCTTTATATCTGTGTAACTGCTAAAAACAGCTTTTCATTTCAGGTTTGGGAATTTTTATATTCTTTGAAGCTTAGGTATAAAAAGTGAATGCATGTGAATCCTATATCATTGTAAATATGGATAATGTGAACATTGCAATTAACTTGTCATTACACGGAAAGAAAGCTGGAATCTAGAGAAAGTCGGCTGTGAGTCACCAATGAACTTTTAAATGTATCTTCCACAATGAGTGCCTCTGAGTAACAGGGAGGTGTCACAACAGTGAGGGATTTCATGCTTGTTCCCTAACAAGGAGTGCATAGATCTGTGGTTTCATAACCATGGGTGTGCAAGGAAAGCAGGTAACTGTGTGAATTTGCTGCAGTAAATCTGTAGGGTCTGCAACAGTAGGGAATGGCAGCTGTACTTCATTTCTTTTCCACTTTAGCACAGCCAGCTGCTGCGTGGAGAACTACTCACAGGCAGTACAAAACTTCTTGCTTTGTGCTTAGTTTCCAGAAATGAATGCCATGATAATGAGACGATTCAGTAAGCCAGGAGATGTCGAACGTGCTCGGAAGTACGTGTTGCAGGTAGGAATGGTGTCAGATATTTCCTTCCTGAAGGGCTGAAGTCAGTCTGAATTTCATTGTGTCTGAAGCAGAACAGCAGAGTTGCATTATTTGAACAGATGTTCAGAAGCATGTGAGGTGTGCGTTGGTACCATGTTGGTACACCACAGCTGCTCTACTGGCACAGTGTTTTAATAGAAATGTGAGTTACTGGGTTGAATAGATTGTTGGGTTTTTTTAATTCTCAAATAGCATAAAATCTCCCTAATAAAAATGAAAAACTCATGGATTAACTCAGTTTCTTCAGTTGAAGAGTTGCTGCGTCCACTGACAGATGTAAGCAGCAACTAATGATTGCAACTGAAGTGCTCGCTCCCGTTTTAGCTGACTGATGTGAAAAAAGTAAATAATTGTGCAGAATTAATACACGCATCTAGTCAGCACAGCATGGGGTTTTTTAATGCTTCTATTTTGGGCAGGAGAGAAGGGGTTAAGCAATTAGTTTCTAGTCTTACTGAATAATATCTTACCGATACAAGTGTTGTTTTATGAGCATAATTAAATTTAGTGCTGATAAGTTTTGGTGTTTTAAAGCTTTGGGGAAGATTCAATGGATAAAGAATGAATCCTCTTCCTTTCTCCTTCAACATATAACTTATTGTTCAGGGTACTGACTTTAAAACCTTTAAAACTACCCACTGTAACTATAAGGGGCAAAAGACAGGAAGGGGCTGCTCAGTTATCAACTGTGTTTAATTTTTATCCTACATAAGAGTGACGGTGTGCAGCAAACAACCTACCTCGCCCAGCGCTACTGCCACGAAGCTACAAGAGAGATCAGTAAACTGCGCCCATCCCCTGAAAGAGAAGCCCTCATTCAACTGACAGAAATGGTACTCATGAGAGACAAGTGAGAGAACTCCTTCCACTCGTTCTGGCAGCTACTTACCAGACTGTGCCTACATTTCCTTCAAGTTATTTGCTTCCAACACAGGCTACCAAAAATTATTTTTTTAAGAAACTTTTGGTGGTTTTTTTTTGGGTTTTTTTTTTTTTTTTTTTTTTTTGAGGGGGGAGGAGTTCTATTTTTTTTTTTTCCTAAAAAATAAAAATAAAAATTGAAGTGTTTTATTGTAGGAAGCCATACAGTTCAGAGCAAATCAGATCGTGCTGTACAAATTGTTTTAGTGGGGGCTATTAATTGTGGGGCAAGGGAAGATGTTTACATGTTGATGCACAAAGGCCACAATGAAAATAAATATAAATCAATGTATGAAAATTGAAGTTGCTCCAAATTTCATTCGTTCACAACAATAAACAGAGCATACATGTTGCTATCTGTTAAACACCTGTGGAAACATGGGTGGTTTGAATGCTTTCCTGGCTGCTAAATTACAGAAGTATCTGGAATTGTACAAAGGGGAAGAGATGATAATAACAGATTGTATGTAGACTTGAATAGGTTGTATATGTAACTAGTTTCCAATTCATAATGAAATACAGGTATGTTATCGGTTGTTACTTGCTAGCAGTTGGGAAAGTAGAAGGTTTAGTATTTCAAACCCACGCTACAATGAATGATTCAACAGCAAGTCAAAGCTTCAACTCCATCATCTTCCATCACTCATTTACAGAGAATATCCAATGCCCTCTCCTTAGAAGATTGCTTTGAAGTCACAGACGCATTCCTATTACAGTAATTATCCAGTACTACCGCATTCCTTTTCAGGTTATTTAAGCCACAGTATTTGCAGAACAGAAGTATCACCTCTAGCTATCTCTGCTCGTTATCCTTTGATGAAAATGGCTAAGTGCCTTGCTCCATCCCAGGTAAAAAAGAATCCCTGTCCTGTTCTGACTGGTTCCCCTCTGTCAGATCTGGAGGACAGCCCCCTGTCTCCCTCAGCTGGGCACACTACCACGTCCAGATACAGCTTCCACTGAGAAATGTCAGTTACAGACAGTGTCAACTCATTCTTTCTAGATAACTAGGTTCAACCAAGAACTCTTGCTAAAACTTATACTGGAAGAAAAGAACTTTTAAGAGTTTGTATAAATGGATAATTCAGGTTTCATATCTAATTTATTTGCCCTCTGTCAGTGATAAAGTCATGTTACAAACATTTGCTTTTTAGTACATTGCCTGGGATAACACAGCCATGATTTTGCTACGTTAGCATTCCAAACTTTTTTGTCAAGCCAACCAACAAAGTAATGGACAAGACCTTTGGTTCACTTATATATTTATGAATGGAAAAAGTCATAATGTAAATTTACTTATTAAAAAAACTTGGGTACAAATTACACATACATAAGACCACCCATTTTTTGATTCACATGGACACCTTAGACCCAAACAACTCATTGTAATAGACTTTAGTGAGAATACTCCAGGTAAAGATTACAACAATTGGAAGCATCTTGGATTTTTAAAAAAGTATATTTCAATACATAAGTTTGTATGCATGCTTTAAACAAATATAGTTCAAGAATGAGCAAAGAGTCTAAACAAAAAGTAACATGACCAGCACTAACATTAAACTTCTCATCCAGATTTTAATATGTTAGTCTAACGTAGTGTTAGTTACCATGCTGTACTGAAAAATGTAATGGCACAATCTGAATCATGGTTCATTAAATATTATACCCTACTTCCCCAGAATATTTAGGCTGGTCATAAAATTAACAATGCGTAAGTAAATAAGTATAACCAGTTATAGACAGTTGCTTGTTTTACAGATTGCCATCAGGTAGACATACTGCCCCCAGAGACTCAGAGAGATGGACATTCAATCATACCATTAAAACAGTATGGCCTGAAGAAATGGGCACATTTTTTTGAAAGTATATTAAGACAACTCTGTTAGCTTTTAGTTACCCCTCGTAAATAATCATGGTATGACCGAGTACAAGACCCAACTTTGAAAAGCAAAGGATTTTAATCAGCATAGTGCATGATTGATTCAACATAATTCCCAGGAAACAAGCCGGTTACTCGATTGCAAACTCCTTCATACCAGCCGTCATCGTTCTTCTTTATCACGTAAATGATTGCACCCTCCATAAACGACAGCTCGTCATCTTTGTCCTTTGTATAGTCATATATAGCAACAACTGTGGATTGAACAGGGAAAAGGTTAGCATCGTGCTAATAGCACCACTCAGTACGATTATATTTTGGAAAGACTTGTTTGCCATCCTGATTTTCTGTACTGAATTCACACAGTTTTCCTGTTCATCATCAAGTCCAGAAAGTGACAACTGCCTTTTCTTGCAGTCCTGACTGCCCACAAGCAGTGGGTGGTGACTGCACTGAATGCTCCTAAGCCTTCTGGTGTGGGCAAGTACCACTGGCTGGCGTGCAGTGCAACAGTGGACATGGCCACCCAACAGCTGGGTTATGAACCAGGTGGGTCTGTGAATGTGGCACTCATTTCTGCTCAGACTGCCTCAAAGGCATTCAGATCCCTGCATATCTTGATTAGAGAAAGCCTAAAAAAATCACTCTGTAGAAAAAGACCACTAGGAAAAATTTTTACACAATAGCCCCTGCAACTATACAGTGCATACTTCAATGCATGACCATATAGTCATCACAGAATTGCTCTATGATTCTGTGATCATACACAATCTTGTAAACATAGCTGTACAGAAGTGAATCATTTCCTGCCTTTGCTACAGAGTTTCTATATGATAATAAGTTTTGACATGACTTTTAAAGGGGCTGCAATGAGTGCAAGCATTAAAGTTACTATAGGAAAAAGAATGAGGGAATTTTTAACAGCATCCACTCTTTTACAGTACCTGCCTGGTAAATACTCTCATCAACCTCCTACTTACTGTGTGCAATCAACAAAGCAGAGATCTCCCTAAGGAATGACAGCGTTGCCACCTGTGCTACTGCAATTGCAAAATACTGCTACGAATACACAAACTTTGGACATCTCTTACCCTTTAAAATAGTTAATATGGATTTATGCAATAGGTCAATTTTATAGCTTTTAAGAATCTACTATTTTACATGATGAATCATTTCAGAAACCTGAGTCTTACTACCTAACAACTGATGATGGAATAGTTCAGTTCTTTTCATCCCATGAGTGCACCCTGCATATAATGCACCAGCAGTGAGGACAGAACACAGCAGTTCCAACACTGCTGCCAAGACAGTACCACAGACACATTTCATGCACATGACAGTACCAGCCAGAGCCTGAGAAAACTTGCAACGTTGCTGTTGACAAGCTGGTCGCTGTCCTAATACAGACAGCTCTATGGGCAGGAAATCAGTTATTCATGGGAAGAAATGTTTATTATATGAGTTTATGTCTAAGCACAGTTATAGTCTGCTGAGGCAGACTCACTGGTATGTCTCATAGACTCACAGAATGGTTTGGGTTGGAAGGTACATAAAGCCCATTCAGTTCCAACCCCCTGCAATGCGCAGGGCTCCCATCCAGCAGCTCAGGCTGCCCAGGGCCCCATTCAATCCAGCCTTGAACACCTTCAGGGATGGGGCACCCACGGTTCTCTGGGCAGCCAGTGCCAAGGCCTCACCATCCTCTGAGTAAGAAAATTTCCTCCAAGCATTTAACCTAAATCTCCCCTTTCAGTTTAAAACCATTCCTCGTCCTATCGCTGTCTCCATGGAAGCCTCGGTACATTTCACAGCAAAATGTTTCATGGTCTGCTCTAGCTGGCTTTCTATCTTGATGGGATAGAGCAGGACAGAGCACGGACTTTCTGGGCTTTGTACAGCACACTTTCTAGATGACTGCTCAGCAACCCTGAGGTAGCTGCAGACGCAGTCCAGCAGCTCAGCAAAGATGAAAAGCCATCGGATTCACATCTGCTTCTCATAACTGTTTCGCTATACTTTTTTTATCCCTTCATTCTAGAACGCTTGAAGATATTTTATAATCCTTCTTTAAAAGGATTATATTTTATCACATCAGGTGTAGCCACTGACAAACCAAGAACGGAACACTTCGAGTTCTGACTAGCAGGGACAATGACTTTTCATCAGACCAAGCTTTGTCATTCATCCCCTTCAGCTACCATTAATCCCCGGTGTGCAGGTACACAGTTGCAGCCCTTCCTACCTTTCTCTATGTAGTTCTTCGGCGCCCAGGCAGGATCTCCATCCGCATAGGGATCGCTGTACTGCACAACAGCAGCCTCCTCGTCCTCGTAGTCCACGGGGGGTGGGGGTGGAGGTGGGGGGGAGTCATCGAACATTGGCATCTCGTCAGGGGGCGGCGGGGGGGGAGGAGTCGGGCTATCGGCAACTGGAAACGTTGGGAAAGTTTTTTTACATGAAAACCAGTGTGCAGATATAAACAAACCTGAGGCTGTAGACTGTAAATAAAAGGGGCGGGGATGACAACACACATAGCATGCGCTATAATACCATGCACTGATTAGAAACAGAGGCTTTGTATTAACAGCTACAACACGCAGCTACGTTCGTTATTAGTGGTCAGATCTACGAAGAGATGCTACTAGAGTCAAAGCACATGCTGCAGGTCATAAGCTGAACACCAGCAGCGGGCAGCCCTGCTCGCTGGCCATGCTGAGGGCTGGCTGCAGCGGAAGCTGTGGGAGCACTGCAAGCAGCACCCTCTGAGCTGGGCAGCAGTGGCTGCTGGCCAGCCAGCAGCACAATTCGTTCTGCACAAAGCCTTTGCCTGTACAGTCACTTTCATTTGTTTGTGAACATTGCTTCTTTGGATTCCTTCTCTCACAGCTAGCCCTAAGAGGGCAAAAAGATCTGGTACAGATCACAAAAAAGGGACGAGACTGGGCTTCAAATTTAACCAAGTGGGAAAAAGCCAAGCGATTTTTCTGCAGAAGAAAAGCTTTGTACTGATCAGTATCCTGCAGACTGGCTTGTGTGTATGCACACATCCAGGATACAGTTAACAAATGGAAAACTACAACAGGCAGCTGCTGCTCTTTGGGAAAAAGTGCTCAAGGAATTAAGTGAGTAATCCAAAATGTCAAATCCCTGCCCTGAGACTCTCCAATCAGCACAATTACAGGTTGCTTTGGGAAAGGGAAAAGAGAAAGGCA